TAGAAGATTTGAATCAGATTGGAAGAACTTGATGATTGTTTCTGCCTAAACCTTAATCTCATCTTGTTGCTAGAGTTCGATGCATGCAGCATTAGTGTGATCTTGTGCATCTGTAGGTGCATCGGTGGTGGTGCTTTCGGTCGTTTTCCAGTGACTGATGCCTATTTATGCTGGATGCTACCTACACGACGCGTCGTACATCTGTTTGGTATCCCGAGTTTAACGAGCTCTACTAATCACACAATAATATTTACCGATTTATAGACACATATACATAGCATAACCAGTGAAAATTGGTTTGGTACAAACCCTGAGGCAACGTTTTTTCTCCCAGTATCTTCTGTTTGTTGTTTGTTGTTGGTTTTTTTGTGTTTTTTTTATGTTGTTGTTTTTGTTTTGTTTTGGTTTTTTGGTTTGGGGCTAGGGAGGGGTGCGCGGGTCGCCCAGTTGTCGAAGACGCCGCAATTAATGTACAGAATTGCCCCCCTTTGGCGTGGGTTCGAATCCATACTCGCCTTGATTATGTTTCTAGGTTGACTTTACATCAATGTTTATTTTTGAATAATGGAGTTTGCATCAAGCAGGTGTTAGTCGTGGTCGGTCTTCCCTTGAATCCCCGTGGGAATAGAACAAGGAGGAGGGTGCCGTTATAAATGGCGAGTTGTCCACTTTAATAATAACATTGCCTTGTTGTTTCCGATTGGAGACGCATTCAACACCAAGATTCTATGATTTCTACAAGCGTTCGTAACTAACGTAAAACATTGGAATTCGACGTCTATCTCATGGCCCATGCATCTTTCTAAATAGTCCTCAGTATAATATGCCTTAACCATGTAACCATACCTCTATGTAGGGCGAGTGGATGAATGTTGTTTTACGCCGGACATCGATGGCCCTGCTTTATTAAGGCGACCTTTAAGAATAGTCTGACTGAGTAGCCACAAACGTAAAGTATGTGAACATCCAAAGTGTTCACAATGAGTCTATGTTCGCAATTTCAAGGTTCGTGAACACAACTGAATAAATACTGAAATTTTCATCAACAAAAACTCGTATTTGAAGCAGCTGTTTACCTGTCAACGTATATCATATATCTGAGTGGGAAGAGGTTTAGTGGGCGGGGGGCAACAAAAGGGAGGAGAGAGGCATGTGTTGTTTTTATACAGGATAGTATTGCTCTTAAGTATTGCTACTAGTGTAACGTAACACGTACGTTTCAACACATGCGTACAAGTTTCAACAACAAACGTCTTAATCGTTCGTACTGTTTCATCCGAGACTTTAATAGCTCAGTGTCAATTTCAGCAGAAAATTTCTGATTGCGCATTTTCTTTTGTTTCAAAACAACGGAAATTCTCTTTTTGTATGTTCAAAACGTGTTCATGGTTTTTAAGGTGAATTCATGACATTTAACTTATTTGATTTGGAACATGTGGTTAAGCTGCGTCACACTGTTGTGCCGACATTTAATGTTTACCCAAGAGGATAACAATATGAAATTTCCTTTTCCTTAGAAATAGCCCAGGTCAATATGACATAACAATGGATGTCTTTCATATAGTTTTTCGGATGTCAAGTTGGACCTGGATTTTACCAGGCCACCACTACCCTTTTCCTGCATATTGTCTACATTAAAGAATTATACACTTTAATCGCACAAGTGGTGCTTCTCTCACAAAGAACCCACGTAAGAAAGTGATTATTTTATTCGACTAATTAAACAGGGATACACCCATTTGTGAGCAAAAACTACCCCAGCAGGTGGCGCTGAGCACATGCGTGGAAGACCGAATTCAGTCATTATGGCCACACAAGCGGTAATCACGTAGATATCATTTTCGACTCAAAGGAGCTGATGTCTTTTTCGTGACAAAAAGACCCAATTCAATTCTTTTGAAAAAAAACAAAAAACGAATTAACATATGCCTGATATTGTTGAATTCAAATGGCGGTGTTGAAAACTTTATTTTACCTTAACCTTTTTGGAATTACAAAATGGTGATTGTGGTTGCATGAAATTGTTCATGTTTTTGAATGTGTAAATGCATGTTGTGGAATACATGGTGCACGTTTCTTTCTTCAGTGGTTTTCCCGGCATTACGAACATATAGCTCATGGTATGTTCTTGTATCTGAAAGTGCATGTCTGTTTCAATTCACGCCAGTGATCACGCCCACATCCGTTACTTTTTAATATCAGCTGTTCTATATTTCCCTCCTGTATATGGGGGCTGAGCCCCGTCGCAAAGTGTGCTGATGTTTGCTGTGGAATTTATATCATACAACAACTCGAATTGGCTCAAATCATAGATTATTTGAAAACCTGTACATGCCTATACCTTCAAATATGTATACCCAGAGTGCGTAAGGTCGGTGGTTCGATCCCCTGGCCTTGACATACCAAAAGACGTTAAGCGATGAAATTTATCTTTAACCCGCTTGGCGCTCGGCGTAAGGGGCTAAAACAAAGACTGGTCGGCTCGGAGTCAGTATACTGTGTCTGAGCGGGGTATTCATGTTAAACTGCGGCATGGTATAAGCTCTGTGAGCTGGCACTATGAAACCGGCATCAGTCAGAACTTGTACAAGCAGATACATACACCTGCAGGCAAGTCGTTTTTAGGTGAAGAAATCTTAAACTCGACGTTAATTCCCGTCTAACCTCACCTCACCTCACCCTATCCAACACAGAAAAAATGACATTGTAATGGAAACCGCGTTTGTTTCCTAAATATATATCTACACGTCAAATCCTAAGAGGAATCAGATTAATGATTTTTCAAAATCGATTTCGTTAATCTCGTATTGAAGGTTGCTATATAAGTGACATAATCTTGAACGCAACGTTAAACCTCATTTCATCTCACATTCAAATTAATACTTAATATACTTTAAATATTCCAGATCGAAAACGGTACCCTTTCCTTTGGGACGCCATCCCTTTTCTGTTGTGGCTATGTCTGTGGCTTAGACTAACGCTTAGACAGTGAAAATATATAGTTTTGATGGAAACAGACAACCCCATTTTAATTGAAAAGGAGCCCCAGTGAAATGGGAGATTCGGAACCTGTGGAAGATCTAGACTTGCTTCGTTTAGAGAAATATCGTTAGAGTAGGGGCTGGGAAATAGGAAATTAATATTTTCGGGGATTGTGAGACTGAATAACAGTGGGAGTACGTGAGGACTAGTTTAATTAATTCAAGGCTATTCAACACTGAACCATAGTAAAAATACATAAATTCTGTACATTTTCGCCTTGCATTAAGGGGAACCGTCCATATATGAACGTAAACGTTTAGATAACCGATGATTCAGAAATTGGAGATTCAGAACCTGTGGGAAATCTAGACTTGCTTCAAGTTGTGCTGAAGCATTACAGAAAAAGCTGGCCAGAAGGGAATATAATACTGATCGGGGTCTGTGAGACAGTCTAGCCGTGGCTGTGTACATCGCGCTGTCAGTGAGATGTCGTTAAATATCTGTAGCTCCTGCCAAAGATAACATCTATACTCATTTATGGTGCAGAAATTCTCTCTGCGGAGTTACGTCCCTTAGTCGTGTCCGGTTCCGCTGTTTGTGGGAGCAGATTCTCAGCCCTCTTGTTCCTGGGTGTGACATGGGTTTCAAGTAGTGAACGCCTTCGACATTCATCACTTTGTCTTTTATAAGTCTGAAAAACAATTTTTATGTAGCGTTAAACCACACTCACTTGTTTTTCGCATATGTTTAGTCCGTATGTCTATTTGCGCGTGTCTGTTTCATGTTCTTCATAATTTACACTATTTCAAACCCAAACCGTTTCATGATAAGAAGTTATCAATAATTGCATGACCATGGCCGCATTAATATGTTTTGATATATCTGATAGGATTTTGTTCTTATTGCGTATTTAATTGCAAAGTTGATGTTTGTATACGTTATAAGAGAATTGTGATTACACACCCCGGCCCCACACGTCTGAAAGAATGACTGTCTTTCATGCTCGTTTACTTTACCGTTATCCTTTCATCGCCTCTCTGTTTACGGCGAGAAGGTGCGCTTTGCACATGACATCCGTGAAAGTAAACGCTTGATATAAACACTATAAGCACATTACACAATATTTTAATACATAGGAATACAGGAGTCTCTGCCTAAACTTCCTCGGCCTCCGCTTAACACATTTAGGTGCAGAATAAACACATATCATTCATCAGGCTAAACACAAGGGCATTCATGCTGTGATCTGTTACAGAAGGTTAGGGAGACAGAATGTTGCTTTCTCAAACACACATGTGTCGGCACTGATTGTCTAAGGACCTGGCTGACATCAGATAGACAAGGTGTATTGTACTGGTTTATCTATGTGTGCAGTTTCTGAGCCATTTTTACGAGTGAGTTAGTTTGGTTCAACGCCGCTTTGAAGAGTATTTCAGTGTTTTTGCCAATGTGTTTAACGTGGGAGGACGAGCCCTGTCGGCATGCTGTCAAAGCGAGTCCCAAGTACCCCATGCTTGGTGTAAGGATCGGGTGGTAGCGCGGATCTTTGCTCATTGTGTCAGTCACTGGTGATGTGTCCAGATTCGATATTAACAGTGCGCCGTGATATTACTTAAATATTGCTGACTGGTGCCTTAAGACATCATTCACTTACCGCTGGAGCAGTTTGAGAATCGGAGACTTTAGATATAGAGATGTATAGAAATATGTAACCCACATTTATAAATTAGGACATAAACTAAAATCTGAATTCAAAGATATGTCTTGGTACATTGCATACCTCGGATGCATACTAGCGGCGTGATATTGCTGGGATATTGTCAAAAGCGGCGTAAAACCATATACACTCACATATAACCACATAGGCCATTTCTCCTCTTGAGACACGGCTCTTGTATGGGCAGGTCTGGAGTTAAACTGACATTAATTTGAATGATTTGGTCTCTGGTTCGTTTTGTTATTGATCACCTTCTGGAATATTTGACCATTGCCTGTATGCTGCTTTGTCTATTTCACAGTTTGACATGGGCCATCACCCGCCGCAGCTCGCGCAGAGATGACTCACACAAGTTACTTCGGCGCCAAATTCAAAACGTAGAAGAGACTAGTCTAGCTTCCCTGCAAAGATGGGGGAATGTGCGGTGCGATGTGTCGTTCTGGCTATACTCATGTGCCACTGTGTGAATGGTAAGTACATAACAAAAATATAGTGTGTGTACGTTTGCTTCATGACGCCTGGAACAGCTAGTATTCCGTTTTATAAGAGATGTGAAGGAAATGGTAGAGTGACGCATGTCGTAGACCTTTACAGCTTTACAGAGCAAGGCTTAATATCGAGCCCAAGCTCGGGTTCGAACCCACGATCAGCGGATCACGGAAACAAAGGCGAGCACGTAGACAACTGGGCCATACACGCTCTCAAATGTTTGTTCGTCTGTTTGTTTGGTTGCTGAACGCCGCACTCGGCAATATTCCAGCTATCTGACGGCGGTCTGTAAATATTCGAGTCTGGACCAGACAATCCAGTGATTGACATCATGAGCATCGATACGATGGGATATTGGGATACGATGACATGCATCAACCACGTAAGAAAGCCTGACCACCCGATCCCGTAAGTCGCCTCTTACGACATAGTCGCCTCTTACGGCAAGCATGGGTTACTGAAGACATATTCTAACCCGGATCTTCTCTAATGAACGAAATCAGTTTTATTTACGGCATAGAATAGTCATGTATAGTCATAGAAAGGTCTGAAAGTGTATATGCATGGGTTCAGACACTATCTGCATGTTATCATAATTTCTGAAGGTCAATTAAACCTACTCAGCTAATTCCCCTTAAAACTCTTATAACAGTGTTGTTGACATGACAAACTCATCAATTTGATAACAAAAGTGTCTTGTTTCTCCTACATCTGTTTACAAGTGCTGTTTCGTGATTTTCTTTTGAAATTGTGTTTATATTAGAATTCTCGGCATAAACTCCAAGCACTTAACTTGACCTATCTCTTTGTAAATCACCAATCACTGTATCCGCTGTTCCGTGCGTCACATTGTAACGAGACCCTCCAACAGTTAGGTTGACTGAGTGTATCTCAGTGAATACACCTGATGATGGATACTGATTGGCAGATACCTGTGGCTCGTCAAGACCCCAGTGCAGGCACACATTTCACAACATGACTCAGATTGCAGGATAACGGCCTTTTGGTGTTGATGTAAGGGACTGATCATTTGATATTCTTCTTTGGGGGGGGGGGGGGGGGGCATTGATTTTGTTTTGTTTGTTCTGTTTCTCTCAGCAATATTCCAGCTATATGACGGCGGTCTGTATATAATCGATTCTGTACCAGACAAATCCAGTGATTGACACCATGAGCATCGATCCACGTAATTGGGATACGATGTCATGCATCAACCAGGCACACAGCCAACCAATCCACAAAGCATACCGTCCAATCCCAATTTCAGTCCGCCATTACGACAAGCACTGGAGACCTATTCTGATCCGAAATCTCCAAAAGAATATTTGACCCGTGAAGATCCGGGTTAGAATATGGTCTTCAGCAATCCATGCTTGCCGTAAGAGGCGACGATGCTTGTCCTAAGAGGCGACTAACGGGATCGGGTGGTCAGGCTCGCTGACTTGGTTGATGCATAGATCGATGCTCTAGATGTCAATCACTGGATTCTCTTGTCCAGACTCGATTATTTACAGATTGCCGTCATATAGCTGGAATATTGCTGAGTACGGCGGTAAACAACGAACAAACAAACAAACAAATAAGAATATTTAATATGATAAATAACCACCTAAGCAGACAACTTTCCAGCTGTGACGTGGCGGTTGTGTGAAAACGAACATAACCATAGAGGGTCGATGCTCCTTCTATCAACCTTCGGTTTGCGCATCCGATCCAAGGGACCCGTTAAATTCTGCCACTTTAGACATTATCAAAGTTTTATAAAACATTTAATCATTGAAAAAAGCGCATTAACGATGTGAATGACAGAATAATACGGAAGTCTTTTAGAGCAATTTGTTTTGTTTTTTAAATTTCTTGAAATTTCAAGATACTAACTTTGAAGTTTCAAGATGTTATGTTGACATTTTAAGATAATAAGTTGAAATTTTAAGATACATACAAAGTTGAAATTTTAAGATAATCATCTTGAAATTTAAAGATAATAACTTGAAATTTCAACTTAGTATCTTAACATTTCAAGTTAGAATCGAAAAAAATAAAAAAACAAATTGCCCTAAAATTTCAAGATAGTATCGAAAAAAAAAATGGCCCTAAAAGGCTTCCGTTGAATAAGGTTGACTCCATCAACATAAAACAGTCACGACGTTCTTCAACGACATCAACAACATATTACTGTGGATGGCTTGTTTTAGACCTCCCGTATCTTAATGCATACAGCCTTTCGTATTTTTCAAGTTCAAATTTCTGAGCAACATAGTCGCATGTTGTATATTTCACGTCTGAAAGCAAAATGTCGTTTATGTCTTCAGCAATATAGGTGGTTGGTTTCAAACACGATAGGTTAAAAGCTTATATCTACATGTGTCAATGGATTGTATATCCCAGGCGACCAGACCAGGATTTATTATCGTGATAACACGGACGGATCAAGTTTAATGCGCCTTAAAAAGGTTACCGAAAACGAATCGAGTTTATCATGATTATCAAAGGTTAAACCGCGAAACGCTCTCAGGACGACAACCAAATTAAATAAATGTTCCGGACAATAAACATATTTTCTAAATTTATGAAGCAACACAAAAGAAACATGATATCTGTCAAGGTCTGTGAGAAATAAGAAAAATATATTCGTATAGAAATTTCATCAATAGTGTAGGTTATGACTAAATATTTATTTTTGTTAGATTACAGAAGCATGACATATTCACAATGACAGAAACATGTCAAACATGACAACTTCAGATCCAAATGCCATTCAGTGTGTCTTTTACAAACGTAATAGTTATTTGGGTACATCTAAATGTTTTCACATTTTCAAATGAATAGCACCAGGCCCAACCTATTGGTGAAATAAACATGTGTCATTTATTCAAAGAATACGGCTATAACACCAGAAAGGGTTTGAAGTGGGTTCAATTGGACACACATGGTAAGATACGATTTCAATTTCTTTTGTGTGTGTGTGTGTGTGTGTGTGTGTGTGTGTGTGTGTGTGCATATTCTGATAGAGATATGTGTCCACGCGTTCCATTTTATAACGTACTTTATGTTCTAATTCACTATGTTCAACCGAACATAAAACATTTACTATGACAACATACTCCACTCATGGGTAATGCCTACCGCTGTTAACAGGCGAGCGGGTTTATTTACAAAATCATACATGTAGACACGCGACTGTCGTGTTATATTCCATTCCAAACACCGACACTCCATATTCTCTAAGGTATTCTTTCTGTAACAAAAACGTACATTTTGATATTTTTGGCACATAAAACCGTTACGAAATACTGCAATATCCTTGTAATATCGCGCTTGAACACTTTATAAATTACTGCGAAATTAACTTTTTGAAAATATAAAGATAACTTATCTGGACGGTGGGTCTTCTTGTGTATACAAATCCATGTCCGGACTCCTGAATCACCTCTCTGTGGGATCACTCACTGAAAGAAAGCAACACCCTTCTCCGTGCTAAACAGCACTCAATGCCCTGCGGCAATTTTTCCCATACGGTTTTACCTGCCATTCGGCAACACTGCAATAACAGGCCGTCCAACACAGACAAGCATTACACTAAAAATCTGATTACCTTTATGTGTATATTTTTAACAAACAAAGAAGACAACAGCTCGCCTGTGTGACGCGAAGGCCTCGAGTGGTGTTTCTTGCCCTCTCCTCTGCACCTTAAGCACGTGACGCCACCGCTTTCACGTGCACAGCCTTCTTCAAATCACATTCGTTACCGTATTTACCCCATAGTAAATACATTTACAACCGTTAGGTGTTATAATATGGCGACAGTAGGTACTATTTCATTGGCGCTAAGCAGCAATCGTGACGCGACAGTTTGTGTGTATTTATGTTTGGATGTACACTGATGGTGGTTCTTGATCAAAAGACCTTTGATTTCATTTGAACTGAGCTGGAATTAAGTTTGATTCTATACATGACACTCTCAACCCCCGGATACACTATCAAAAACTTTGACAAAAAATCTTGGTGAAAAAAAATGCCGATTAAATGTACATGGTCAAAGTTGGGCTGTTTACTGTCATTAAAGTTTTGGCTAGCATTATCTTCCCAAGATTGGAGAGACCGCCTCCGTGGTCTAGTGGTAGAGTGTCCGCCCGGAGAGCGGAACGTCCGGAGTTCGATCCCCGGCCTCGTCATACCAAAAGACGTTAAAAGATGGTACTTCTTGTTACCCTGTCTGGCGCTCGGCATTAAGGGGCTAAAACAAGGACTGGTCGGCTCGGAGACAGTATAATGTGTCTGAATTTGGTATTCATGTTAAACTGCGGCATGGTATCTCAGTGAGCTAGCACTATAAAACCGGCATCAGTCCGGACTAGTACAAGCAGCCACACAAACACACACACGTACGTGCACGTCGCAATATAAGTGCAATAATCTTGGACGCGACGTTAAACCCTATTTCACCTCACCTCCCAAGATTGGTGCTGCTGAGGATGAATGTTTTGCTGTTGTCATGTTGAGAAGGAATATTGAATTATGGCCCCAGGATTGACATCAGCTTAGAGCTTACGATGCTCTTCTCCAAGGGTTGGATAGAGAGGATTCAACTATCTGAGCATGAACAGGGAAACGTTCAGGTTTCTTCTTGAAACAATGAGGCCGTACATTCTGGTTGTCTAAATTATAAGTGTGATGAGAAATGAGACCGGTTTCTGTTCCATCAAAGTCCATCAATTAAAAACTTTGTAACATTTTTTGACGGTATGTTACACTATGAAAACCTTGGTCAAAGCTGGTCAAAATTGACTTTATTATAAAAGATTTTGATAGTGTTAAAACGGTAGCGAGAACTAAGATCTGATATTAATGAGATTGAACAAGGGTTTAATTCATAGTTATTCAAATTTCCCCCATGTAAAACAGATATTTCTGTGATGTATATACTGACGCCATATTCACTGATAATGTATAAAGAAAATATTTACTGTTGTGTTACAAAACACTATTAACTGTTAAACACGCATAGATTTTGATGGAGAGATAGAGGACAGGCATCACGATTTTCACGTGCAGTTTGAAGACGAACTGTCAATTTCAGTGTCGGGCACAAACCAGTCGAGATTACAGCGCACTATTTGCACGTGCACTATATACATCTGTAAACCTGACCATGTGTACAAATTGATCTTGTGTCGGGCGGACGTTTTTTTTCGTTTAAAAAATGTATTTCTTTACAGCTGTAGTGAAAGTACTATAGCATACTAATACGTTTAATAGTACAAGTAGTTCGTTTAAACAGTTTGTACGTTCATTCATGCATGGTTATAGAATAGTGCAGAGGGTGGGGTGAGCCGAGTGTTTTTAAATGAAAAAAGACATCAGGTGAACATATTTAAAGAGAAAACATGTTTGTATACTTAACACGTGTTTACATAGCTTCATTATGAAAGAGCGAGTGAAGCAATGTTGATTTACGCCGCAGTCAGCTGTACTGTGGTCAGACAAACCAGTGGTCGAGAGCATGAACAACGATAGCGCATAAATGAGGTCACACATCTTATCTTTAGTTAGTTCGTCAAACAACTATTGGTTGCTAAGGACCGATCCTCGCCGGTGTTGAAATCTATGAAAGTACGTTTTTCTTTTTAAAAATCCGATAACCCTTGAGCATACTCGGGCGGACGTGGAGGAGTTGTCCGTGTGGATTGGGTACTTCGGTTTACTGCAAACTGTCAGGTCCTGAATTTTGGCCGAGATCTTCTCCGAGTTGAACATTTTGGTAATAAACAGAAATGTGCTGAAACATGGAGGCGAAAGGATAAGTGGAAATGCATGTATGTCAAAGTTGGCAGGTACGCGTTCAGAAAGACGACATCCCGCCGAAATCGACTTGATAACAGCTGGGCACTAGCAGAACAACCGCTTGAAGTCGATAGCTCCGTGCTCAGTCATATCAACAACTGCCATGACTGAGGCTGTCAACCCCTCCTCTCGGTACGCGGGATTCGTGAGTCAATTTAAAGGATATTGAGACTGGGCAGTGATATACGCGGGACGCAATTACCATTGTGTTTATCACGCAGATTCAACATTTTAGAAACAAAAATGGTGTACATAAATGTTTCCTTTTTATTTTATTTTTCAGTAATTAAGCTTAAAATTGCATCATTTTAACAGATTTCTGTTAAGTAGTATTTGGGAGTCAAGGGATGAACCATGAAACTCGAAGTGAAGAAGTTGATGGTATTCGGGATTCAGGGGAGGAGGGAGTGGCACCCTCATGATACTGATGCCAGTTCGTCGTTTCTGTGCGTGTAGCATCCAATGTGTTTATCAAGTCATCCCCACGGAAAGTTCAGCTACCGTTACTACATCTAACTCTACACGAAATACGAACGCCGGGGTCATGTAGACCACAATTTAAAACTATTCACGTTTGCATAATCAGGAATGGACTGGTTGACAAGAGTCAAAAGACGAGTCCTTCAGACTCACTCTTTGATAAAACAAACATTGTCGTACTATTCCAGGTGACCAGCTCCCGACGAATGGTACACTTTATTTTATGTACGCTTCAGCTTGTTGCCCAAACGTTGTTCACCTTGTGTCATAAATATTTTAAGTTTCATAAAAATAAAAATAAAATTATTTCACTTGTCACGATATACCTGTTACACGTATACTGTAGTGGCATTATAACATACGTCATCACACTGGTTATTATGTAATATGGCACTCTAGGAGTACGGTCAAATGTTTACAAGACCCGTGAAGATCCGGGTTAGAATGGGTCTTCAGAAACCCATGCTTGTCGTAAGAGGCGACTAACGGGATCGGGTGGTCAGGCTCGCTGACTTGGTTGATACATGTCATCGTATGCTAAATGCGTTGATCGATGCTCGTGATGACACCCACTGGATTGTCTGATCCAGACTCGATTATTTACAGACCGCCATTATATGCGCCAGCAATGGTACCACCCCCACCCCCCACCCCCCACCCCTCCTCAAAAAGGTGATTGAAATGGGAGTAGTGTGGTCAAGCGGTTTGACTTGGCTCATTCGTCGTCATTTTCTTGCGTGTCATGTCCCGACTATGGGGCGAGGTAGTGAACTTCGCTATTTACTATTATTTATAATTCTTTAAGTAGAATTATTCATTGAATAATAAGTATCGTGCATTTAGCATTATATCTCATACCCGATTTATTTCACTTCCACACCCCATTCCTGATGGTGCTGATTAGGCACTGGTTTGTCTGGGCCAGACGCCTTTAGTTTATGACCGCCGTGATATTGCTGCGATTTTCTAAAGCTTGCTGCAGTAAACACTACTCACTCACTCATTCACTCATTTAAAAACTAACGGTTTTTTTCAGGGAAAGATCCAACGGGGCCGAACCCCTTAATATCACAAACTACCACCGAAATCCTCCCAGCAGGAACGTATAGCGTAGACTTTACTGATGTAGTTTTACTATTATCATAACGATTGCAACTCATGCTTCTTGCCTCGGGTATATGAAGCCCCTACGAGGACAATCTCCCTCGAGAATTAGTGATGCCACCTCTAGTAACAGCCACAGTTCACATGGGTAACCTGGATCAACTATCTTAAAGACAGATAGAAGAACTTTGCTGAAGCAACGTCTTTGACAATGCTTAATGGTGTGGTGCCCATTTTCAGTGCAGCTGTTGACTGCTTATAGGGTGTCATTCGTAAAATTTAGACATTTTTGTTTGTTTAATTAGGTAAATTATAACTGCCAGATTGATAACTAAAATCAATTTGTTTGTTTGTTGTTTTACGCCGCACTCACAAATATTCCAGCAAAATGATGACGGTTTGTAAATAATCAAGTCTGGACCAGACAATCCAGTGATTGATATTGTGAGCAATGGTCCATTCCATCTGGTACGACGACACAATGACACGTAGACAACCAAATCATCGAGTCTGACCAACCGATCCATTCGGGCGCCTCTGAAGACCAGCACTGGGGATGATCCGATCCATTCTCAGGCGGAATCTTCATGGAATCATAAGCAAATTGACTTTGGCAACAAATGTAGATTATATATTATTTAAACAAAATTGTTAGGATTTCCAATAGACCCGATCAAAGTTCCCCTCTATGTATGGATGATTTACTATAATTTTGAGATCGTCTTTTTTCTTAGAGGGTATCTGCAAAGAAATTACACGTGCACGACCCACACAGTTAGTTTTTTGCAAACCGTTTTAAGCCAGAGGGTCATAAAGTTGGTGAATATAGTCATCTGTTCCTCATGAGAAGCAAAGAGGGTGCAATTCTGAAAGGAGAAATGGTCAACTTGTAGTGGCCTTACTGGTGTCACGTTGATTTTATTGTGTAATGATTCTATTTAATCATCGCATGTTTTCAGTGGCCATCACCCAAGGTCCGAAATGTGAACCCCAAGTGAACGTCTCCATGACCCGCACACAGCAATTATCTGGAGACCCAATCTACTGTGTCAACTCAACTACACCAACATGCAACGACAGCACCAACGACCTCAACTACACCATTGCCTCCAGCAACTTCAACATCATGGAACTTGACGGCCCCTGTCTCATGCTTCTGAAGGCAGAATTTACTCAGTCTAGATATTGTGTAAGTACTCGCGATTATAATGTTCTTGGGGAAATAATTTTCACATGGTGATTTGTTTTAAAACATTTTATTATTAATTGGTTGAATTACCATAGCATTCGTTTTAGTTATGATCTATATTGCTAACTAAGGGAACTCTGAGTCTAATTATAAGGTATGGAGAAATGAAATGAATAAGATATCATTACCAGGAACCTTTGCATTTGAAAATTCAAGACACCTCTATCAGTCTTTTCATAGCTACAGTCGACGATATTCTCGCTGTATCATTTCAGCCTGTAAAGGGAAAAAGTGGTCGTGCATAAATAATGGTCCACGCCCTGTTCCCATGATAGGGTCACTCTCAGTACCTTAAACATATCCTAAGGCCCTGTTCTGGCCCTGACATATGTGTTCCTTATTGTAAATTGTGATCTAATGAGTCGGCCTTACATTGGCTTACAAAGCTGAACGGTGAATAAAACTGAATAAAGGCTGTTGTCGTTATCTTACTCTTTATTTCTTACTTATATGAACTAATCTGTCATGTATATTCCAGATTACAATTTTTGCAACACAAATCATTGCGAGGAACCCCCTTCATGACGACTTTGAGATATGTGTGACATTCAACGAAGCTCCAGTGTTTGGGAGTGACCTGATTCCAAATATCATAATCATCCCTCCCTTCACCCAACCAAAGACGATTGACATACCAGTCGACACCAGCCCTGATGGCATTTTAGCAATTCAGTTATCAGGCAAGTTTTAAATATCAGTTAATGAAATATGGCTTCAATTAACATAAATAAAACATGCCATCTGATGTACTGGGTAGTTACTGTACCTCACTTGATTATGTTGGGGATGAAGTGCAAATTTACATCTGAAGATCGGCTGGACTCAGTCTTAAGTTCTGAAGTAATTTAAAATCAGTTAATATGAGTATGTTTTTTCTCAACATGGGTGTTCCAAATTTATGAACATCCTCAATTTCAGGAATTACCAGATATTATTTTGCGTGATTTACAAAGCTGTTGTGTTCATTAGGATATGGTTTCTGCATTGACAGTTTTTGTTATAGAAAACAACTATTTACAGAACAAATTAAAGTCTTCATAACGCCATGCAATTTTCCTTTAACAGTATCTACCGTAGTAGCATGCAGGTGAACAGGCACATGGCCTAATGTACAGTCTTAGCGAATCCGATTTAAGTCGTTTAACACAGTTAGATTGGTAACCTCTCAAAATTAACCACTTCAATACATTTGCAGCTTTAAGTCGTAAACATGCATAGTGTTGAAACGAAAAATCTGATTACTGTGATGTCATCTGACAACTTTCACAGCAAATTCTAAAAGGTTTGATCATTTGTTAAATTATGCTCATTCTGGGCCCAAATAAGGCCTTATCTCACCTTGCCCTTTGCAAGGACATACATTGGCCCAAGACTCGTCTCCTGTAACTCCACCATGTGTTGCTACAGATGTGACTCCACGCACTATGGTCTCGGCCTTCAGCATTGCAGACGACAATTCTGTCATCAACTACACGAGACCTGCAGACCTGACAGGGCTTGTCAATGTTACCAGTGTAGATCTCACTGTCAATGTAAGTATGTCAATGTTACCAGTGTAGATCTCACTGTCAATGTAAGTATGTCAATGTTACCAGTGTAGATCTCACTGTCAATGTTAGTATGTCAATGTTACCAGTGTAGATCTCACTGTCAATGTAAGTATGTCAATGTTACCAGTGTAGATCTCACTGTCAATGTAAGTATGTCAATGTTACCAGTGTAGATCTCACTGTCAATGTAAGTATGTCAATGTTACCAGTGTAGATCTCACTGTCAATGTAAGTATGTCAATGTTACCAGTGTAGATCTCACTGTCAATGTAATTATGTCAATGTTACCAGTGTAGATCTCACTGTCTCGTTTCAACTTTAGAGACAGTAAAAACAAAAGTAATGATAATACGTGTCATGTCAGATTAAAATGTCTAATCGAAATAAGAAGGTGAGGTGAGGGTTATCGCGTTCAAGATAATTACAACGAGTGTGTGTGTGTATGCGTGTGTGTGGCTGTTGGTACTAGTCCGGATTAATGCCGATATATTTTGTGCTAGCCCACTGAGATACCATACCACAGGCTAACATGGATACCCCACTCAGACACAGTATACTGACCCCAAGCGTACCAGTTCTTATTATTATAGCCCCTTAATGTCCAGCGCCAGACAGGGTAACAACAAGTACCATCTTTTAACGCGGCCGGGGATCGAACTCCTAACCTTCTGTTCTCCGACGCTCTACCACTTGACCATTAAGCATCAAATACACAAAGAAATGTAATAAGAAAGTGCTGGTGTTATCCCAGGTGACGGATGACGGGAACCCGCCCCTGTCTGCCCAGAAGGTGTTCACGCTGCTGCTGGTCAATGATGCAGTGACCTGTGATGACCCTCCGAGCATCATTAATGTGGACACTACGGTGCCACTGCCTGCAGTCAAACCCCTGTCATGTACGTCGGCAGCGGGGAACAGCATCTCCTACAAGGTCACAGTTCTATCAGGAGGTGAGTCACCTTGACCCTTGCAAAGGGGACATAACTCAAAGTTTCTATGACAACCATAGTTTCAGATTCTCTCTTGTCTGTGGGATTCAGATTCTGAGGCAGGACAACTTCAGATTTGATGTTTAGTGTGATCGATACAACTGGTTCTATTGAATGTTGACAGACATTCAGATGGAAACATCCAAACTGACACAAACGTAGGAACCTACAGTGATGGTAGAAATGGTCTCTAGCATTACAGTATTGTTTTGGGTTATCATTTTTACTTCATTAGCGTTCTTGGATTGGATTTCAAGTTGTCTAGTATTCCAGTCATTTTTATTCAACTGATTGCAGATCAAGTTTTAATTACAACATTTTTGTAATAAAAAATTGTGATTAAAATCTGAACAAGTTCATGACAACTGTTGAGTTTGTACTTACATAACACCCGATTGCTGTTTTGACAAGATATATTCTCCCTTACAGCCGACATCGCAATGTCTGTGTTAAAGAACGGTTCCATATCCATCAACACATCTTCCCAGGTGGCTGATTTCAATGTCAATGTAGAAGTGTCATCCATCTATGATGTTCAGACATCATTCAACACCACAATAAGTGCAGGTATGTCATAGATCTCCTGTTAGAAGCCAGTGCCTCTCCAACACTCCATGTGGGTATAGTACCTCAGGGGGCACGGGTAATCTCACGTACCCTGTGCTTGATGTAGGACCCAAGTAATATGAGCCTCAGATTGCCATAGTGAAGGATGCATTTCCAGATGCTCTGATACAGCTGGAATATTGTCGACTGTCGACTAAATCAACATGTAGATACTCAGTGTTCCAAGTATTCGGGTAATCCTATCTGAGTCCAACAAGGCCTTCTGAGCAATGTGGCATGGTTGTCCCAAAGGTCTAAGGTCTTGCTGACCCAGCATCACAATTTTCGGGACAGAGTTGCATACCTTTGTTTTACTAAGATCTGCTTCTAATATATCATAGGATCAAATCTTAGGATGATTATGAACCTTAGTTCGTCAGCATTAATCTATTAATCTATTAGCTATGAACTACAAACAAGCTATGATATATGAGAAGTATTTGTTCAAAGCAGTGTTAAAGGCAACTCACATTTATCATCCAAAACTGTATAACACTTGGGTCACATCAAGCGATAGCTCCAAGAAGATAGGGAGTACGAGTGGCCCAGTGGTCTAAGGCACAGCGATTCGCTGGGCAGAGTTGTGTCCCTTGGGCACAGAAACCTATGATTGTGGGTTCGAATCCCAGTTCACCCCAATTATGTTTCTAGGTTTGTCAGCACCATACCCAAGTTCGTGTGTTTCACCGAAGTGGTAAACGTTTGAGACCTGCATCACTTCGGTCTTTCCTCCCACATTAAGCTGACACATGTTGATATAATTTGAATACTGATAAACCCAACTCACTCACTCAATCACTCACTCACTCCAAGATGATATGCTTTACAGATTACTGCGACATGTCACCATGATGGCACAATCAAATTGCATCACTAATCTCTCAGCCACTGATGCTGGGCAGCTGTACTTTTTACTCTCATGACACGGATGTTACTGTTCACAAACTCAAACAGTTGTTTATAAAGCTTTTAGACATGTGGTGATATATTTTAAATAAAAAGCACTCAGGAAATTAATCCACAATATATCCAATGAATTTCATGATGAGTGAGTGCGGGAGTAAATAAGTTGGGTTTAAAGCTGCTTGGAACAGTATGCCAGTTATATCACAGCATGTCAGACTAATGTGGGAGGAAAGCCCGAAGTGATGCAGGTCTTAAACGTTTACCACTTTGGTGAAACCCACGAGCACGTGTATGGTGCTAATCGGGGCGAACCGGGATTCGAACCTATGATCATTGGTTTCTGGCATGCCTAAGGGACGTAACACTGCACAGCAAATTGTGGTACCTTAGACAACTGGGCCAACCCTGCCCACACAGTCATGATGATGATGATGATGATGATGATGAAACCTATTGTTTCAGGTGAGAAGCCCAACTGCACTATGGCCAGCTCCGACCTGAATGTGAGAACCAAGGATGCTGCAGGAAGCATCTACATCAACTTTACCTGTGAGACTGCAGGTTCCAACAAAGACGCCATGGAGTTTGATATTGACAATGACATTGAGAATGATTTCTTTGCTGTGTCTGCAACAAGCAGGGATGTTGGAGGGACGACTGTGGGAAGTGCTGGCATCTCACTGGCTGCAGCATACAATGAAACCACCTTTCCCAGTTCTGTGAGTGTGACGATCTCATTCTCGCCACAGCTAAACAAATATGTGAGGACATCCCATTACGGGTCACGTCAGACCGACCTTGCGCAAACTTTGACTGACCAATGGAATGAGCAATCAGGAGGCAGTTTTCTCGTGCTTTATGGCACCAATTTCAAATTGGCGACTACGCTTTGAAACATATTTTGACAAATTCTCGATTACAAATTTGAAACCTGAACAAAAGAACATTCTGGAATGGCTGATAGATGGTTTAGATTGTATGGATTCAGTCGTTAAACCCGTAACTATCGTTCGGAGTTAAAGATTTCGAGGTTGCATGATTAGAAATCACATTCCGACTGCCACTTTCATAATCTGGTAAGCAATCCTCTGATTGGTCAGATGAAAGGTCGTTCTGACGTGACCCCTAATGGGATGTCCTCAGATCTTTGTTTAGTGGCAGCGAGAACTGAGGTCTGATTTTAATGAGATTGGTGAGTGTGATAAAGTGACTAAATAGCACTGGATTAGGAACACTGTTGCGGATGTTTCCGACCATAACAGGCCTCAAGTTTGTAAATTATCAATTCTTGATCAGTCACACCAGTGGTTGATATTATGAGCAACGTCCTACATCATGTAATTAACTGTCACAAAGACTGACCACCTGATTCATTTCAGTCAACTCTTACAGCAATCATAGGTTACTTGGAACAAATCCACTCATCTTACCTCCATGTCAGAATGATGAGATCTGATTGGTTCACATGATCTTTATAAAATACTGTGTAACCCGCCATGGAGGGTAATAAATTTCTCAGCGGAGGAATAATTTTTGTAAAACCCGCCACAATCACTACAGGCTACACATGCATTTCGGAGCGAAAGAATAAATTCTTTATACACCACTTCAAAGCAAAAGGCTACACGCTTTTTCAGAGCCAATGGATGTCACGTGACATAGTGCAGCTGTTTTCTATCAATTTTCAACTTATTTGAATTTTTTTACAATGTCATATTAAACATTTAGGTAAAATAAATCTGCTTTAGCAGGATCCCGAGGGGTACATGGGGTTTTATGCATCCCTCGTTATACCACTCGCCTTCGGTTCGTTTCTCAGCGGGTGAATAAATCTCTTATACCCTGCCAGGAGCAAGACAGGCGGATTTCTGAGATGCAAAATAAATCACTTAAACTGTGCTTTGAAGCAAAAAGCAAAAAGCCTTGTTCCGAGTCAATGAAAGTCACGTGACATAGCACGAGTTAAATCAATTTTGAATTTGTTTTAATTCTGTTACAATGTAATATTGAAACATGTCAGAAAAATGAATTTGTTGTAGCAGGATAACTGTGGGTACATGGGGTTTTATGTGTCCCTTGTTACGTTTTATTCTCCTCTGGCTCGTGGTATAAAACCTAAGGTGAGACGCATAAAACCCCATGTACCCCTCATACCCCTCGTGTTTCTGAGAGGGAAAAAAATCCCTCATACCTAAAGCAAACAGCTGCACGAAAGTGGCATGACATAGCAAAAGTTAACCACAGCTCAGTCAAATGGCTGTTTTGATAAAAAAAATTAAATGGCAGATTCAAACATGTCAGTAAGTTAGATAAATTCATTGCAGCAGTATCAGTCAGGGTACACTCACTTCAGGCTCATGGTATAAAACCCCACCCGGGATGCATCAACCCTCATGTACCACATGTAAGACTACTGCTACAACTTATATCTTATCTGGAATAATGATGCCAATAAGTGATTTCAGGTTTGCTGCATTTTTCTGATCCGCCACAACCGATAAAACATTTTTTGGAAAATAAGCATCTTCACTATGATCCACAATATTAGATATGTTCTTTAAGATTATGAAAACAATGTCTGGGTGTGTACCAAACCATTTGCATTGCTAGGTGAGCTACAGGACCCATGACTGAAGGGAGAGGTGGCCCAGACTTGATGATTGCATGTCGTCATGCTCTGATGGCGTGGATCATTGCTTATAATATAAACCACTGGCCTCAAATTGTCTGTTCCTGGCTAGATTTTTTACAGTATGCTTAGATAGAGCGTCCGCCTAGAGAGCGAAAGGTCCAGGGTATCATCCCCGGACACGTCATACAAAAAGTCGTTAAAAGATGGTACCTATTGTTACCCTGTCTGGCGCTGGCCATTAAGGGGCTAAAACAAGGAATGGTCGGCTCGGAGTCTGAGTGGGGTATTCATGCTAAACTGCAGCATGGTATCTCAGTGTGCAGCAGTGCTAGTACTATAAATCGGCATAAGTCCTGACTAGTACAAGTAGCCACACACATGTGCATGCAAGTCGCTGTATATAAAGTGCAATAATCTTGGATGCAGCGTTAAACCCTATTTCACCTCGCCTATTCATGTTTCAAAGCCGAAAAGGGTGTGTGCCTGTTTATAGCTGCAGTCAGCAATATTCCACCTAGGTCACTGCAGCTTCAATTGAAAGTAATTCTGGTTTTGGAAAATAGTTTTTATCTCTTGTCAATATCATGTTGTTTTATCAGGTAACGGTGACTGTGACGAATGTGTATGGAGACACGAAGTTGACCTTTAAGGTGGTAATAGTGAACACTCCACCGGTGTTTGTACCATCGGACCTCCCCGTGGTGACAGTGAGCGAGAAGCTAACATCAGGTGGACAAGTTTATAACATCAGCGCGACAGATGAGGAGTCAAGTGTCACCTTCTCTTTACAAGGTAAGAGCAGAGAAATCCCAGTTGTCAAGATGGTACTGTCTGAGAGAAATCTTCCTGATTAAAAAAAATTCTATATTATTGAATTAAAGGTTTATAGTGATGTCTTTACAGCTTCTGTATATGTAGACCTTCTCTGCAGTAACTATAAGGAAGTTGGTGTTTCCCGAATAAATAAATAAATATATAATAAATAAATAAATAAATAAATAAATAAATAAATAAATAAATAAATAAATAAAGTTACTCTGGTTCAGACACACACACTTGATATTGCTGTCTACAGCACAAAATGTATGAGTCTTATTTTCAATTTTCATTTATTTGCTTGAAGTCCTGTGTATGCGTGGACCGTAACTGAGAAAATTATCAAAAATTGTATTTCTGTTTTTCAGATGCAATTAATTCTAGCATTCCAGTACCATTCAGTATTGATCCCAGTTCTGGGCAGATCTCCACCAGCGGAAGTCTGAATGCAACTCTAGTCAAGTCTTACACTGTCACAATTACTGTAAGTACCTTTTTAACTGTAACTTTTCTTCCTGTAAGGCGACATTTCTTGGTTTACGGATTTCAAACTCATTGCAAAAGTGAGGTAGGCCAATTTAAAAAAAAAAAAAAAGCCTAACTTGAATTTTGTCCTAAAAAGTTAGGTAGGTATAAACAAATATTCTGGAGTAACAAAATTGAAACAACTCAATTTTTCAAGAACATTTTATCATATCCCTGGCACTCAGCTTGTGCACAAATGGCAATATAACAATATTCATATCATGGGTGGAAATGCATGAAAGACGCTGCTACCAGAAGATTACTGCTGTGACACCAAGTTCCCAGAGACTCTTGTGTGATATGTGAAGCCAACATTTATCAAGGAAATTAAATATAATACACAAACCCTTCAGTGTTTATTTTTTAGTTTGTTGGTCATGGGCATATGAACAGTTAATCTAATGTAACTCCTGTACCTATGTCCTTGAAGGTGACAGATGCAGGTGGTTTGAGCAGCAGCATCAATATGACTATCAAGGTGGATGATGTCAACGAGCCACCACAGTGTGCCAACAGTGGCGATGTTACACTGAACGTGGATGTCACAGCACCAGTCAATTATTCTGTCATTGTGCTGAACTGCTACGACTGGGATGTCGCCGACAACAACAGCATCCTGACATACACCCTAGAGGGGGTCGAGGCACAACTTGCAGGTAGGCTGCCAGACACTCGGGGCCTTCAAAGGTTTCATTTCACAATATTGGCCTTGTTATATTAGGATGATTTGTACCTGCAAAGGCAAGAAAAGCGTAACACAAAATTTCATATTTAACTTGTGATTGTCTCCATTGGATTCTGTGGAAGACTAAGGCTCACAACCCTACGCTTGTAAGGACAGACTAAAGTGGTGATGATGCTGGCACATTATGTGTGACCTGGCTGATTGGGTATCTTGTACCCAGTGTGGAGCATTGCTCATGCTGTCAACCATTGGTTTCTCTGGTAAAGACCTTTTTACATGCTGATATGGCTGGATTTTTAAAGCCTTTGTGTGTCTTAAAAATATTGAACTACTTGTTTACCCATCCTTGACAGATTGGGTTGTATACCCCTCAGGGAGCTGAGAATGACCGGGTTAATAATGGCATGGACTTGGCACATTATTGTTATTGTTATTATTATTATTATCAACTGGAAAAAGCTACCCTGTCCCACAAAAATGTCCCACCCCTTTACGAAATCCTGGATCCACCTCCATTGACCAATTAGACCATTGGTCATGCTATCAATCACTGGTTGGTCTGACTTCATCATATACTGGCTACTGTGCTCTAGCTGTAATAGCTGACTGGAGATTATAACAACATTCACTCACTAATGCCGGATCTTCCTACATCAGGATCTGTCCTTGGTTAAAGCCTACTGCTGACTGTGATGTTCATCAAATTGTACAGAAAACTTCATTATGGATGACATTGTATGGAGTTGTTCTCTGTCTTTTCCAGGTCATATTGGTTTCAATGACAGTAACAACAGAGAGATTCTGCTGCTGCGGTCGCTGAGTACACTCAATCTGACAGCAACGCCATCAACAACATTCAACATCATCATCGCAGATGGAGGGACTCCTTCACTGAATTTGACTCTGTCCATCACCATCAACTTCTCAGGTATTTATTGATGAACATGATTTTGAAAAAAGTCAAGTCGCGAGGGGTGAGATTATCTGCACTAAATGAATGACGAGTGTCAGACAATCCATCAGATAATCAATCAATCCAGTTTGGATTAGGTTGGTAAATATTATTAGTGTTTAAAATACCCGCCTGCCCGACAGTCGGAGACGGTCTTTTTGCTGACGGACGGCCTGTTATGAAAAGTTCCAGCGCCGATGGTAGCAAGTTAAAGTTACTACAATGACAATCCACAAGTTTATTGTTATTTTCTGAGAACAGTACTTTTCTTATGTTTACCCTCTGTTACTTTTGTTCGTTAGTCGAGAAAATTTTGGACTGGCAACATTTTATATGGTCTGATAACTTTGCAATATTGCCAGTCCGGTTGTCTGGCTGAATTTTTGGGGATTTTTTTACACTGATGTTATATGTTGCATATTACCTATTTTTCATTTTTAGATGAGAAATACAGAAATATGAATGAAAAGTCAACCCATCTGTCCAATAACAAGAGATTATAACTTTGTGACATTAGAGTTATGTCCCTTAGGTGTCTGGATCTGTTAATTGGTTTCAGTGCCAGCTTTGCTCTGATAATGATCCTTGGTTTGTCAGCACTATTCCAGTGTTCATTGGATCCACTAAAGTGGAAAAGCTTCAATTACCTGCATAGGCCACTTCAGGCCTACCATTCACCTTAGTTATAATATGCTGATGCCATGATATAGGCCTAAGTCATAACCTGTTCAGGTCAGCCTTAATCTTATAAAGGAGAAACTTTATATATTATGTCAAGAATGTTAAATCTGCTTCTTGCCCATATTCATTGAGGCTGGAATGTTATTTTAAAAGACACATTGTAAAGTTTTTGTCCCATGTTTTGTTCAGATAAGCGTCCGACATGTTCCGAGCCTAGCCTCCAGCTGTCCGTGTCGGAGCGAAGTGCTGTCTCATCCTGCTTCAACCTGACCCACAGCTGCACCGACCCCACCTCCACTGGCCTCACCTATGTCCTGACCAACACCTCCCTGGGGGGTGGCGACCAGCCCCTGCTTGCATTCTTCTCCCTGGGGACCAACTCCCAGGGATCCCAGCTGCCCTATCTGAGTGTGTGCCTGGAGACAAACATCACAGGGCTGCCTGGACGTTATATGGTAGGACCAACCATTTCACATTCTGGGGCCTGGGAAAGACTAGTTTTCACTCATTGTTGTGGCAGAACATCAAGTACATCCAGTGACATGTTTTCTCATGTGTAGAGAAGTGTAGATTAATCATTCTTGTCATGGCCATGCTAGTTTAATTTGACAGGGTGATGGTCAATAAAGAAATCTTGTATAATATCAGAGGGGGATTCCTGTCTGCTGCTGGGGTCAACTAAGTTGTATTCAGCCAACTAAAAGAAGTCTTCCAAATCAGTTGGTTATGAGAAATGTAGGTGATGTGATATTAAGCGTCGCGTCCAAGATTATTGTACTTATATAGCGATGTGCATGCACGTGTGTGTGTGTGTGTGTGTGTGTGTGTGTGTGTGTGTGTGTGTGTGTGTGTGTGTGTGTGTGTGTGTGTGTGTGTGTGTGTGTGTGTGTGTGTGTGTGTGTGTGTGTGTGTGTGTGTGTGTGGCTGCTTGTACTTGTCCGGACTGATGCCGATTTAATAGTGCTAGCCCACTGAGATACCATGCCCCAGTTTTAACATGAATACCCCACTCAGACACAGTATACTGTCTCTGAGCCGACCAGTCTTTGTTCAGCCCCTTAATGCTGAGTGCCAGGCAGGGTAACAACAAGTGCCATCTTTTAAAGTCTTTTGGTATGACGCGGACAGGGAATTGGAAATCTTGAACATGATGAACCTTGTTACAGATCAGAGACTGTAATATCCGGATGTAACTGCATGTTTTCCATTTATTACTTCAGGGAGGTCTACAAGTTTCCAACAATTTATTTTCCACTAATTTAAATGTGACGGTGGATGTGCTGGATGTCAATGACCTGCCCATCATCCAAGGTCTCCCCATCAACAACACCTACAACATCAGCGAAACAACACCTATAGGATCGCCAGTTGCAACTCTTAACATCTCCGACCCAGATCCAGGGGACAATGGAGTACTGTCCGTCACTTTTGAAGGTAACATGACTATACTTGTTTACTAGATCTGATGCAGAAGTGTCACACACACACTCCCCCCCCCCCCCCCCCCCCCCCCCCCCCCCCCAGCAGGCGTTGCTTGTACAGGTAGAAATCATCCCAAGCAACTTCCACTGATCCCAGAGGCAACTTATTGGACTGGGAGTCAGGCTTCCTGACTTGGTCGATTCCACAGATGACATCCTTACCATCGTCCCGGGCCGCATAGTAGGGTACTGAGGCTTATTTTGCTCAAATATAATATGAACCTGCTAGGCCCCAAGTTGGGCGCCAATGTAGCGGCCCTTAAATTTCCGAGTCCAGTGATGGGATTCGAACCACGGACATTCTGATCTGAGGTCGGACGCCTTGTCCACATGACCAAAGAGGTTAACCCCGTCAGCAAGCTGATAAGGTAAGTATGTCATCTGTGGGATGACTCCACACCCTGCTACATCAGGAACACCATCAACATATTCACTAAAACACCCATTTTCCTTTCATCCTACAAACTCCAATGTTGTGTTTCTGACATCCATGTAGAATACATCCATCCAAACCAAGAATTTGTTTCTTGAGATCAATTCCATACATTTTATAGGGTTAATTGTCATAAGAAAGCATAAATCATATAGAATTTCTGTTATCGGAACATGACGATTAATAAATACCTGATTATTATTGTTATTTGTCATTGCTGTATTGATGTATAACAAAGTTATTTTACAATCCAGCGGCCGACCCTTCGCTGACATATGCTGGAGACTTTGAGTTTAACAATGTGACGGAGGAGATAAAAGTAGCTCAGATGCTGAACGCTACATCGAACACTGACTATTCCTACATACTGACAGTAAGTATTGGCAGAACTTTACCATAGATGATCATGATAATTATGATACCCAAATCTGACTTAAAGAACTAGTATATATATTTTGTCTTATTTGTCATAAAGTGGCTTTGGTTGGTCATTTTATTGGACACAAATAAATGCTATTTCATGTTTAAAGTAACATGTATGTGTGTTTACTTCTGTTAGAGAAGGTGTTATTCTGTTGAAATGTGTTTACAGTGATCACAGACTGTATACAGTGCACTTGATCTGTTATCCTAAAAGTTAGTTCTTTGTACGTGTGAACTTCCAGGCAAAGAAAGTATACACCTATATGTTTGACGGTGGCTAAAAATGAAACAGACAAGAAATGGTTATTTCATTGTGATGTATTTGAAATGGGTATCATACTTTGGACCTAAAGTTTGCAGTGTTTCGGTAACTGTTTTCAGCCTAGTAATGTTTTGATCATGTTTGTTATTTTTTGGTCAGATTCAATTTTCAAGTGTATACTTTCTTTTGCCCATCAGTTTATCGTTCATATCCATCAAAGATGAAACAGTACATTGTGGTTGTGACTCAGTTGGTTGACATAAGCCAGGAATTAAAACATTTACCCCGTTATGTAGTGTCTGTGTACAGGGTACCCTTCTACCACATGTACTGTGTATGTCTGGGGCGGTCGGGTAGCCTAGTGGTTAAAGCGTTGGCTCGTCACGCCGAAGACCCGGGTTCTATTACCAACCTGGGTACAATGTGTGAAGCCCATTTTTCGGTGTCCACTGCCGTAATATTGCTGGAATATTACTAAAAGCGGCGTAAAACCATACTCACTCACTCACTCACTCACTTTGTTTATCTGTTGCTATAGGTAACAGATGGAGGAGGATTGTCCACGTCCGTCAACATCATCATCAATGTTGATGATGTGAACGAAGCTCCTAAATGTGAACAGCCAGGAGACTTCACTGTAAACGCCACTGCGGGTCCGGACTTTGTGATTGGTCAACTCATCTGTTGGGACACTGACGCTAAGACCGAGTTCAAGACTCTTGTGTATGAGGCAAAGCCCAAGGAACCAGGTGGGGGTCACTTGGAGGACAATAGTGTCACATGCATGGAACCATGAATTGTTTGATGAGGGTCATAATGAATGTAATTCTAGGAATTTAACTTCTTGAAAGTCATGTAAAGTTCATCATGTCACTAACTTGTAGGCCTGTGTAAAGAAGGTAATAGTGAAATCCCTGTTTTCATGCCCTAACATTGGTACATTTGGGTAAATCCCTGGACAATTTCAAATTCGGATAAGCAAGAAAATTTAAGCTGACTTCTTGCATAAATAGAAGGGTTAGCCTAGCAGTTAAAGTATTGGCTTGCCTGCTGAAGACATGGTTTTGAAACCCAACATAGCTAAGATTTATTCTATTAATAAAGTTGCATAAAACCTTTCTCAATGACTCCTAGAGTGAAAGAGTATGGTGTTACGCATTTTTTCCCTCAATATCATGGCAGGGGACACCAGAAATGGGCTCCACACATTGTACCAATGTAGGGAACCAAGCCAACGCTTTAACCACCAGGCTACCCTACCGCCCCAATGACTCATAGAACAATGTGAACTAGATTCATGAAGTATAAAATGATGAAATGTTTAACCAACATGTGTCCTTTCAGGTGCCATATCACTGATCAATGTGACATCTGATGGTGTCATCAAACTGTTGGATACCATACCATACCAACATGATCAACTAGTCTACCAGGTTACCGTTAGCAACGGGAGTCCAGGCAACACTATAGCTCCCTCTGTCACCATCCCTGTGACAATTGTGTATAACAGTAAGTTCTTGATGTCTGTTGTCGTCCTGAAGGAGAAATCTGGGGCAACATCTTACAGAATGGTTGAGGGATATTTATTGTCCACTGGAAATGCGAAATGATTGCAAGTTCTGAAGTATAGACAAAATGAGTGAAAAGGTTTCTATTAATTTTATATTTGAGAAAATCCTTACACTGAGCATGTCTTACCACCTCTGTTGTCTAGTGGTAGAACGTCTGCCCGGCTAAAACAAGGATTGGTCGGCTCAGAGTCAGTATACTGTGTCTGAGTGAAGGTGTTCATGTTTACCTGCAGCATGGTATCTCGGTGGGCTAGACCTAGGGCTGGGACGGGTACCTCAGGTACTCGGGGTGGGTGGGTACTGAGTAGGACCAAGGTACCCAAAGGACTACCCAGACCCGTGGTTAGTCATGTGTTATACTGTTTAATGGCCAAAAATATCTAGAACTCTATCGTTACACTATTAGTGACGAATGTTCATATTTCTATCTGACTATGCACACATTCCTTCTGACTTTATATGTTTGCATGAAGATAAAACTTCAGTCAAGTTCAGTCATCTTCAGTGTGTGCATGATCAGATTGTTTTATACGTGTATCTAAATATATTCTGCCAGAAGTATGGTCAAACATTTCCCAATCGGACATTTTGTACCTATCTCTTGAGACCTACGGCGGGTATACGGGTCATCCATATGAACAAAAGTTTTATAAATGCAATTTCTATACAAGTCTTTCCCATTTTTTAAATTATACAGATCCATTGGGGCCAAAATGGCATCAACCAGTTGTCATCCTTTGTTGACCATTTGTGAATTAACACTACAAAACATGTCCTTTCCTTTTGTTCCTCCCCAGGAGAGTCCATTTGCATGATGATCCTCAAATGTTTGACCTTTGTGTGTTGCATACATAAATGGGGTTTAATGTCAGTGTCATGTGTATTTCAGAGGCCTTTCCACCCACCTGCAACACGACCAGTGTGAGTGTGCGTTTCAAGGACACGGACAGCGTGGGGTGTGCGGTCGAGAAGGTCAACTGTACCAACCCCCTGGACAAACTGCCCAGTGTCCAGATGACCAGCCTCCCGGCCAACTTCAAACTGGAGCAGGAAGAGACTGGAGCATCTATTTCCTTCCGAATGTGTGCAAACAACACCAGCTTTAAGGACAGTATTGGCAGCCATGAGGTAATCAATGTTTCACAGAATACTTCTCATGTAAGTCGGCTTCCACTCAGTTGTATTATCAAAATTTACATCAAAAGTCCTCAAGCTGTGTTTATTGCAGAAACATGTTGGGGAGTCAGTTTTCCTTGAAATGTTTGAATAAATTTCTCTAACAAAATGAAGCCCAATATGAATATCCCCATTCTTGGCCAAATGTCCAGAATATTTAATGATTTGGTGTGGTGTGGTGTGGTGTGGTGCGGTGCGGTGCGGTGCGGTGCGGTGCGGTGCGGTGCGGTGCGGTGCGGTGCGGTGCGGTGCGGTGCGGTGCGGTGCGGTATGCTTTGGTGTGGTGTGTTGTGTGGTGTGGTGTGAGTGGTGTGATGTGTGTGTTGTGTGGTCTGGTGTGTGTGGTGTGGTGTGGTGTGGTCTGGTGTGTGTGGTGTGGTGTGGTGTGGTGTGGTGTGGTGTGGTGTGGTGTGGTGTGGTGTGGTGTGGTGTGGTGTGGTGTGTGTGGTGTGGTGTGGTGTGGTGTGGTGTGGTGTGAGTGGTGTGGTGTGGTGTGGTGTGGTGTGGTGTGAGTGGTGTGGTGTGGTGTGGTGTGGTGTGGTGTGGTGTGGTGTGGTGTGTGTGGTGTGGTGTGGTGTGGTGTGGTGTGGTGTGGTGTGGTGTGGTCTGGTGTGTGTGGTGTGGTGTGGTGTGGTGTGTGTGGTGTGGTGTGGTCTGGTGTGTGTGGTGTGGTGTGGTGTGTGTGGTGTGTTGTGGTGTGTTGTGTGTGTGGTGAGTGGTTTGGTGTGGTGTGGTGTGGTGTGGTGTGGTGTGGTGTGGTGTGTGTGGTGTGGTGTGGTGTGGTGTGGTGTGGTGTGGTGTGGTGTGGTGTGGTGTGAGTGGTGTGGTGTGGTGTGGTGTGGTGTGGTCTGGTGTGGTGTGTGTGGTGTGGTGTGGTGTGTGTGGTGTGGTGTGGTCTGGTGTGTGTGGTGTGGTGTGGTGTGGTGTGGTGTGGTGTGGTGTGTGTGGTGTGGTGAGTGGTGTGGTGTGGTGTGGTGTGTGTGGTGTGGTGTGGTGTGGTGTGGTGTGGTGTGGTGTGTGTGGTCTGGTGTGGTGTGGTGTGGCTACTTGCTTGTTATCATCTTATTGTTATCCAAAATAGCTGTTCAAATTTGGTTATGAGATAGAAGGCAATAGAAGCATGACCTTATCAAACATTGACAAAATCATGAAAATGCCATTTATCTCTCAAATGCTTTTGTTGCACATTTCCAAAAAATACTCGATTAATTTCAGGTGAAAGTGATTGTGGAGAATGGACTGGGTAATGTCACCATGACCTGGAACATTGTAGTGGAGGACGTGAATGAAGCGCCACGCTTCCAGGAAGTCAAATACCATGGATCCATTCCAGAGACCACACCCATTGGGAAAATAATTGCCAGGTTGCAAATCAGCAATGGACCTTTCACCGAGAGTGGTCTGAAAGCTGCTGATGGAACGGACATCATCCGTGTCACGGACCCAGACAGACACACAGTGCAGCATCAGATACAGAGAACTGCAGCTCATGGTATGTTGTGTTGTAGAGTACCCTGATGTACAGTGAATAAGATTTGAATAAATTTATTACACAATGACAAGTTACTGAACATCATATCTCTAATTGAGGGAGATTTTGCCATATTAAAGTTGTACATGGAGTACAAACGATTTAGTTATGTTTATTTCAGGGAAGATTGTGTGGAAGAGGAATAACACAGCTGTTGCTGCGGATAACCTCCCCATCGACTACTCCTTTTCCAACTTATCTGTCCGGGGTGACCTGGACGAGTCTCTCCAGTACCAGTTCACCATACAGGTAGAGTTTTACATTGTCCAACTTCTCTGTCCGGGGTGACCTAGACGGGTTTATCCAGTACCAGTTCACCCTACAGGTAGAGTGTTACGTTGTATAACTTCTCTGTCCGGGATGACCTGGACGATTCTCTCCAGTACCAGTTCACCCTACAGGTAGAGTGTTACGTTGTATAACTTCTCTGTCTGGGGTGACCTAGACGAGTTTATCCAGTACCAGTTCACCATACAGGTAGAGTGTTACATTGTATAACTTCTCTGTCCGGGATGACCTGGACGAGTCTCTCCAGTACCAGTTCACCATACAGGTACAGTGTTATGTTGTCCAACTTCTCTGTCCGGGATGACCTGGACGAGTCTCCCCAGTACCAGTTCACCCTACAGGTAGAGTGTTACGTTGTATAACTTCTCTGTCCGGGATGACCTGGACGAGTCTCCCCAGTACCAGTTCACCCTACGGGTAGAGTGTTACGTTGTCCAACTTCTCTGTCCGGGATGACCTGGACGAGTCTCCCCAGTACCAGTTCACCCTACAGGTAGAGTGTTACATTGTCCAACTTCTCTGTCCGGGATGACCTGGACGATTCTCTCCAGTACCAGTTCACCCTACAGGTAGAGTGTTACGTTGTATAACTTCTCTGTCTGGGGTGACCTAGACGAGTTTATCCAGTACCAGTTCACCATACAGGTAGAGTGTTACATTGTATAACTTCTCTGTCCGGGATGACCTGGACGAGTCTCTCCAGTACCAGTTCACCATACAGGTACAGTGTTATGTTGTCCAACTTCTCTGTCCGGGATGACCTGGACGAGTCTCCCCAGTACCAGTTCACCCTACAGGTAGAGTGTTACGTTGTATAACTTCTCTGTCCGGGATGACCTGGACGAGTCTCCCCAGTACCAGTTCACCCTACGGGTAGAGTGTTACGTTGTATAACTTCTCTGTCCGGGATGACCTGGACGAGTCTCCCCAGTACCAGTTCACCCTACGGGTAGAGTGTTACGTTGTATAACTTCTCTGTCTGGGATGACCTGGACCAGTCTCTCCAGTACCAGTTCACCCTACAGGTAGAGTGTTACGTTGTCCTACATTCAACACTTCCGCTGAGATGGCAGTTAAACCACCAAACATGACTTAGAAGATATTACTGAGTAAATACCAATAATAATTGGTTAATAATAACTGACAGTATCTTTATACATTGTGGACAAATAGCATCAATATCAATCAGGCAGCTGAATTGTGGTCATCACCTATTCTTCAAAGTTAAAAAATCAACAAATCATGGCAACTTCTGAATCCTCATTAAGGACGTTTAAACTACATTTGATAAATATTTAACTTCAATGCATGTAGATAGGCATCTTCCCGAGGCAAGAGAGTTAACTGACTATAAAAGTCCAGCTTCCACCCTTGCCGAACTAGGCTGGTATTATGGAGTTACATTTTGGCTGGACTAACCAGTCTATGCATAGTCCAATCATAATCACGCACCAAAAATCGAAACTCATTGTCAGCAGATATTTTCCAAATCTTATCATGTTTTTAATCAAGGTGCTCATGTGATTTGATGCATTTCGCGATGTAAGACCCGTTTTATCACAATATAGATCTTGATTATCGATCAGATCGTCCTGACTGGGCGCCACCATTTTGTGTGAAGCAAACGCAAGTCATACGAGAGGTGATTGGTCCATAGGAGAGGCTTAGAAGGGACATACATGTAGCTGGTAATAGCCACTGGTGGCGCTACGATCGAGCCCAGTAATTACAGCCTAGTTTGGCAAGGGTGGAAACTGGACTTTTAAAGTCAGTTAACTCTCTTGCCTCAGGAAGATGGTAGTTAGGGATTCTCATTGGTAAAGATATGTTGGTCTGTCTCCATAAATAATTCCTTTACATACTGGTTTGATTAATCATATTAACTTTAGAATTTTTGATGTAATACTGAACATTTTCCTCATTCGATGACACCCCAGTTCATGTGACTCCCCCCCCTCCCCCTCCCACCACCCACCAGCACACAAACACAATTCTCTGTTGACCACTATGCTTTCCCTTCCAGGAGCATAGCAAACATGATCTGCACTGCATTCTGCATTTGAGCCCTTCTATCATAAACTAATTTTGTCACATTTATTATTCGTACCAATGTATTCTTTTCAGGAATAATTCAGGAATAACAGCTTGAATTATTATCTAGCTAATTAATATGAACCATGTTGTGATTTGCCTTTACTTCAGGATCAGAGGGTGAGTGAGTGAGGTTTAACGCTGCTGGGAACAATATTCTAGTTAGATCACCGCATGCCAGCTTACTGTGGGAGGAGAGACTTAAGATTAACTGTTATGATGTACAGTTCATTAATGATTATTTTTTTTCCTCACTTGTATAAATTTTACTAACTAATGATGGCGAAAAATACTGTCACAATTAAGAATTTGTCAATTTTTGTTTTCCATGCCATGAATGAGTGTGCACTTACACAACAACAGTTATAATGGGAATTGATGTATATTCTATTGTACAACTGTACCCTCAATTACTTTGTAAACATATACTATAGGTCTATGGCCTTCCCAGTATTAAGACATAAAGATCAATGAGATACATGTTAACCTGTTTTGTGACAACATTGAATATATGGTCTCTATCAGCTTTGACCTGTAGTCAGTTGTTCAAATCCCAGGAACTCATGAGGTTTACTTATACCCACGGGCGGAGGGGTAGCCTTGTGGTTAAAGCGTTCACTCGTCATGCCAAAGACCTAGGTTTGATTCCCCACATGGGTGCAATGTGGGAAGCCCATTTCTGGTGTCCCCAATCGTGATATTGCCGGAATATTGCTAAAGGCGTAAAACCATACCCACTCACTACTTGTACCCACGCTGTTGCAGGTTGTGGATGGAGGGAATCTGTCAGCGTCCGTGGTATACACTGTGGACATCCTGGACGTCAATGAAGCACCAACATGTAGTGTGTCTAGCCTGATCTTCAACATGGGCTTAGTGACCGATGTGGACACCTTGATGGACACCCTGTCATGTTCAGACCCTGACTATGATGCCAACAAGACGAAGACTGTTTACACAACGGAGGGGTCAGACAGGGGTGAGTTATGTTATGTCCAACAGGGAGAGACTATGAGGCAACATGATATTACAGAGAGATGTGGTAACACGGTATTACAGAGAGATGAGGCAACACGGTATTACAGTACTCTTCTACTCTAAACTCTCTGGAGTCCGAGGTTTAGACATTGTAATAAAGTGACAAGACTTTTTCTTTTTGGTTAATGGATTCGCCCAAATGCCAATGCTCATGATGTCAATCACTGGATTGGCTGGTCCAGGCTCAATTATTTACAGACTGCCCTTATGTAGCTGGAATACTGCTGAGGGTGGTGTTAAACAACAAACAAACAAGCAAATAAAACATGATTGAAGGGATCATGCAGAACCAGAGAACAATCACAACATAATCACAACCAAGCCTGTGACCGACGCAGTGACAATGACTATGACCTACATAAGAGAAGTAGCTGAACAACCCAAACTTGCCCAGGAGATCGTAGATTTGTGCAAGCATTGAAGTTAACACAGTAAAAGTATTTAAAGAAATAATTGTTAACTATTTATGTTTAGATTATTAATTTAATTCAGTTAAAGTGAATACAATGATGCTTTAAAACCTAACAAAAAAACTATTTACAGACATACTTTTACATAACTATTAACTTATTACCGGTAAATGGTAATTAATCACATGAACTGTACATTGTCTCTGGCTACAGAACCTCTTCATCTTCCCATGGTAAGCTAGGGAGTTAACTGACTGTAAAAGTCCAGTTTCCACCCTTGCCGAAATAGGCTGGAATTTCTGGGCTTGATCGTAGCGCCACCAGTGGCTTTTACAAGTAATGTCCCTTCTATGTCCCTCCTATTGACCAATCAGATTCCATCACTCATATCACTTGCATTTGCTTCAAACAAAATAGCGGTGCCCAGTCAAGACAATCTGATTGATAATCAAAGTCTATATTGTGATAAAACGGATTTTACTCCCCTTCAACATGAGCTGACTGATACCATCATAGATGTTGCTGGACCTACTTACTGGCCTAAGTACAGTTTTCCTTTTAATGTCATGAAGATGAACGTATCACTGGTAAATACAAACAAATAGATTCTAAAATTTTCACCAAATTGCTGAACCTGATAAATATGCATGGTCGGCATAGTCACATTTGATCAGTCATCGAGTGATGTTTTAGGATCGGGAATAGCCAAATATTTGACAATGATTGAAGATACCCCTGAAACATTAATATATCCAATACAGCCCATGCAAGTCTATAATAGTTGGAACTGCCCCCGTGATCTAGTGTGAGAGTGTCTGCCCGGAGAGCAGAAGGTCCAGGGTTCGATCCCTGGCCGCTTCACACAAAAGACTTTAAAAGTTGGTACTTATTGTTACACTGCCTGGTGCTTGGCATTAAGGGTCTAAAACAAGGACTGGTCAGCTCGGTGGCAGTATACTGTGCCTGAGTGGGGTAGTCATATTAAACTGCCGCATGGTATCTCAGTGGGCTAGCACTATAAAATCAGCATTCATCGAGACTAGTATAAGCAGCCACACACACACACATGCATGCACATCCTTATATAAGTGCAATATTCTTGGACGCGACGTTAAACCCCATTTCACCTCACCTCAACTATAACAGTTGGGATTACTGCTGTTTCAGGAGAAGAGAGTCTCTGGGCTCCTTTCTATTATATTTATTAAGATAATTTAACTGGTTTTTTTCGGTAAAATATGTTCATTTCAGAGACTAGATGTTAGTCTAGATAATGATACCTCCAATCATTCCAGTGTGATGAGTACCACCAAGCAGTATCACGGCTGCTAGAATCCGGGTTAGAATACTGAGGTCTTCAGCAACCCATACTTGCCATAATAGGCGACTATGCCTGTCGTAAGAGGCGACTAACGTGATTGGGTGGTCAGGCTCACTGACTTGGTTGATGCATGTCATCGTATTTCAATTGTGTTGATCGATGCTCATGATGTCAATCACTGGATTGTCTGGTCCAGACTCGATAATTTACAGACCGCCTTCATATAGCTGGAATATTGAGTGCGGCGTTAAACAACAAACAAACAAACAAATGAACAAACAAAGCTATTGGGTCACATTCAGCTTGTGGTCTGCATACCTATTCCCGCCAGCCAATGTGGTCCTCAGTGAACTCAGCATAGCACCTGTTATGCCTCTGTAATATTGCTTCCTAAAGCTGACCTTGTCCCAGGTCAAGATGAATACCAGCGAGGTAGTTTACAATTACTGACCCAGATGCTATCCCAGATATTAAAGGGACAGTGGGGTGGTCTTGTGGTTAAAGTGTTTGCTTCTCATGTGAAAGGCCCAGGTTCAGTTCCCACTTTGGAAAAATGTGATGCCTTCTTTAGCGTGAAGTGGCTCAGATACTGCTTAATGTGGTCCAAACCATACTCACTATGTCTACGGGAACTGTTAATATCATACGTGTTCTTTTCCAGAGTTTTTCAACATCAGCTCAAGCGGTGCCATTACCCTTGGGAAGCGGTTGCCGAGAGACAGAGACACCCTTCAGCTGCAGGCTGTGGCCAGTGATGCGGCCGACAGTAGCTTGAAGCATGTAGTTAACATCACTGTCAATGTTAATCGTATGTATGCTATAAGAACGCACAATATTTGAATCCAGTCAGCAACATACATGAAACATCTTGTACAAGTTATTGTAAATGTTGAATGTTTAGCTGATAATGTTTAAAATGCTTGAGGTGTATACACTTTCTGTTACACCTTCTTTAAGTTATTATTTTTATCAACTTTTCTCTCTCAAAACCTTGGATCCTAGTCAAAATATACAAAGAAATAAATATATAATTGGCCCTTTCAGTTATTTATTTTATAATATTTTATAAAATTTTAGGTTCTTTATTTTTCAGCTGACACTTTCATGAAATATTTATAAGAATGTTTGTGGCATTTACATGAGAATTAACCTCACTGTGTTTGTTCTTTTTTTTGACTGATGAAGTACTTAATGGTATTTTTGTGGCTACTAATTCGCATGCTCTCTTTGAGCCTGTACTTATCAGAATGGGAATATTTTTTTAAGAAGCCTGATTATCAGGCTCAGAGGTAATAAAAAGAGTTTTCACATCGAATATTAATTTTTTCACATTCTTGATATTTAGGGTCAAGTAAAGTAAACCAAAAAATAAAAAGTAAAACACTTCATTTTTCTCTTGAAGTATTCATGCAGCAGCACCAATAGGCTTTGAAGTGGGGTAGAGGAAGGGACACAAATTACTACTACATATATGTCCATATTTGTTTGTAGTAGTTGTATACTACTCAATTTTAGCTTGGGATATCTTTAGTATCGAGTTGGGACAGGATGTGATCGGTTGCTAGGAGATGTTGTTGTACATGTAGTATTTGGTATTGTCAAGATACTTGGACATGTCAAGTAGTATTCAGTATTGTCAAGGTACATGGGCAATATGTCATGTATATTTGATATTCGTAAGGCACTTGGACATGTCCAGAGGTATTCAATATTGTCAAGGTACATGGGTAATATGTCAAGAAGTATTTGATATTGTCAAGGTACATGGTCAATTTGTCAAGTAGTAATTGATACTGTCAAGGTACTTGGACATGTCAAGAGGTATTCAATATTGTCAAGATACTAGAACATGGATCTGATGTTTCAGGTACTGTCAGTGCGAAATGCGAACTTCGTCAGATAAACCCTCCAGTCTGGATCATCAACAGCTGTATATCCTTGAACGTGACCTGTACTGACCCCACAGCTGATGCAACCAGCACGCTGACATACACAGAAAGCGGAACCTACACCGGTGGATTTACGCTTGTTGGGGACGCAGGCTCGTACACCTTGTGTTACACCCTGACAACTAATGGCACATACTATGTGAGTAGACTGCTCACTGGCAAAATGTAGTCTTATTCCATGTACTAACCCGATGGAATTCTAGGCTAAGCAATTGTATATGCAGCTGGCATGCCAAGCATTCCTAGCACTGGTAAGAGATAAAAATAACTTGTTTGATAGTAACAGGCTGCCTGATATATAGCAGGAATGTTACTGTTGCTCACGCTGTCAACCACTGGTTTCCCCAGCCAAGTCACTATGAGTTACAGGCTGCCTGATATATAGCAGGAATGTAAGTGTTGCTCACGCTGTCAACCACTGGTTTCCCCAGCCAAGACACCATGAGTTACAGGCTGCCTGATATATAGCAGGAATGTTACTGTTGCTCACGCTGTCAACCACTGGTTTCCCCAGCCAAGACACCATGAGTTACAGGCTGCCTGATATATAGCAGGAATGTTACTGTTGCTCACGCTGTCAACCACTGGTTTCCCCAGCCAAGACACCATGAGTTACAGGCTGCCTGATATATAGCAGGAATGTTACTGTTGCTCACGCTGTCAACCACTGGTTTCCCCAGCCAAATCACTATGAGTTACAGGCTGCCTGATATATAGCAGGAATGTTACTGTTGCTCACGCTGTCAACCACTGGTTTCCCCTGCCAAGACACCATGAGTTACAGGCTGCCTGATATATAGCAGGAATGTTACTGTTGCTCACGATGTCAACCACTGGTTTCCCCAGCCAAGACACCATGAGTTACAGGCTGCCTGATATATAGCAGGAATGTTACTGTTGCTCACGCTGTCAACCACTGGTTTCCCCAGCCAAATCACTATGAGTTACAGGCTGCCTGATATATAGCAGGAATGTTACTGTTGCTCACGCTGTCAACCACTGGTTTCCCCTGCCAAGACACCATGAGTTACAGGCTGCCTGATATATAGCAGGAATGTTACTGTTGCTCACGATGTCAACCACTGGTTTCCCCAGCCAAGACACCATGAGTTACAGGCTGCCTGATATATAGCAGGAATGTTACTGTTGCTCACGCTGTCAACCACTGGTTTCCCCAGCCAAATCACTATGAGTTACAGGCTGCCTGATATATAGCAGGAATGTTACTGTTGCTCACGCTGTCAACCACTGGTTTCCCCAGCCAAGACACCATGAGTTACAGGCTGCCTGATATATAGCAGGAATGTTACTGTTGCTCACGCTGTCAACCACTGGTTTCCCCAGCCAAGACACCATGAGTTACAGGCTGCCTGATATATAGCAGGAATGTTACTGTTGCTCACGATGTCAACCACTGGTTTCCCCAGCCAAGACACCATGAGTTACAGGCTGCCTGATATATAGCAGGAATGTTACTGTTGCTCACGCTGTCAACCACTGGTTTCCCCAGCCAAATCACTATGAGTTACAGGCTGCCTGATATATAGCAGGAATGTTACTGTTGCTCACGCTGTCAACCACTGGTTTCCCCTGCCAAGACACCATGAGTTACAGGCTGCCTGATATATAGCAGGAATGTTACTGTTGCTCACGCTGTCAACCACTGGTTTCCCCAGCCAAGACACCATGAGTTACAGGCTGCCTGATATATAGCAGGAATGTTACTGTTGCTCACGCTGTCAACCACTGGTTTCCCCAGCCAAGACACCATGAGTTACAGGCTGCCTGATATATAGCAGGAATGTTACTGTTGCTCACGCTGTCAACCACTGGTTTCCCCAGCCAAGTCACTATGAGTTACAGGCTGCCTGATATATAGCAGGAATGTTACTGTTGCTCACGCTGTCAACCACTGGTTTCCCCAGCCAAGACACCATGAGTTACAGGTTGCCTGATATATAGCAGGAATGTTACTGTTGCTCACGCTGTCAACCACTGGTTTCCCCAGCCAAGACACCATGAGTTACAGGCTGCCTGATATATAGCAGGATTGTTACTATTGCTCACGCTGTCAACCACTGGTTTCCCCAGCCAAGACACCATGAGTTACAGGCTGCCTGATATATAGCAGGAATGTTACTGTTGCTCACGCTGTCAACCACTGGTTTCCCCAGCCAAGACACCATGAGTTACAGGCTGCCTGATATATAGCAGGAATGTTACTGTTGCTCACCTTGTCAACCACTGGTTTCCCCAGCCAAGACATCATTATATTTTCTCTTTCAGATTGAGATAACAGTTGACAATGGCTTAAAAAACACAAGCCTACGTTCCGACATTGGAGTGGTCTATCTGCGGTCAACACCCACCTTTAAGAATCAGAAATATGAAGTGAATGTTACAAAGACGGTTGCTGTGGGCGACACCTTCCTGACAGTGAAGGCAGCGACGGGCGGGAACTTTTCTGGCAATATCACGTACCAGATTACAGGTACATTAATGAGTTATCAAGTCTTGTTGTTACTACAGATCTTAGTAAACACAGAAAAAGTCAAACTATCATTTGTCTTGATTTATTAATTATCTGTGCTTTCACCTTAGGATTTAGGAAGGAGGGAGACAGAAAAATAAAATAATTTCTCTTCAAATTAATATATTACTGAGCCCATTCTGTCCATGTCAAATTCTAATCTGTACTTGATCATTTTACTTCTCAAAATTGTTAAATGTAATTTGAATTCACTTTGTATGATTAAAACATGGTTTGAAAGTACAGATGATATGTGATGCTTCTCAGACTACACCCCACCATCTATGAGCTCCTATTTCCAAGTGAAACCTGTGACGGGTGAGCTGCAGGTCCTGAAGGACTTGGAGGAGTTGCTGAGGAACCGGATATTTGATGTCACGTTGACAGTGCAGGTACTGGGTACATAGTCTTACACTGTCTGCAGGTACTGGGTACATAGTGGAACACTGTCTGCAGGTACTGGGTACATAGTGGAACACTGTCTGGAGGTATTGGTTACATAGTCTTACACTGTCTGGAGGTATTGGTTACAAAGTCTTACACTGTCTGCAGGTATTGGTTACATAGTCTTACACTGTCTGGAGGTATTGGTTACATAGTCTTACACTGTCTGGAGGTATTGGTTACATAGTCTTACACTGTCTGGAGGTATTGGTTACATAGTCTTACACTGACAGTGCAGGTACTGGTTACATAGTCTTACACTGACAGTGCAGGTACTGGTTACATAGTCTTACACTGACAGTGCAGGTATTGGTTACATAGTCTTACACTGACAGTGCAGGTACTGGTTACATAGTCTTACACTGACCGTGCAGGTTCTGGGTACATAGTGTTACACTGACAGTGCAGGTACTGGGTACATAGTGTTACTCTGACAGTGCAGGTACTGGTTACATAGTCTTACACTGACAGTGCAGGTACTGGTTACATAGTCTTACACTGTCTGGAGGTATTGGTTACGTAGTCTTACACTGACAGTGCAGGTACTGGTTACATAGTCTTACACTGACCGTGCAGGTTCTGGGTACATAGTGTTACACTGACAGTGCAGGTACTGGTTACATAGTCTTACACTGACAGTGCAGGTACTGGTTACATAGTCTTACACTGTCTGGAGGTATTGGTTACATAGTCTTACACTGACAGTGCAGGTACTGGTTACATAGTCTTACACTGACCGTGCAGGTACTGGTTACATAGTCTTACACTGTCTGGAGGTATTGGTTACATAGTCTTACACTGACAGTGCAGGTACTTGTTACATAGTCTTACACTGACAGTGCAGGTACTGGTTACATAGTCTTACACTGACAGTGCAGGTACTGGTTACATAGTGTTACTCTGACAGTGCAGGTACTGGTTACATAGTCTTACACTGACAGTGCAGGTACTGGTTACATAGTCTTACACTGACCGTGCAGGTACTAGTTACATAGTCTTACACTGACAGTGCAGGTACTGGTTACATAGTCTTACACTGACCGTGCAGGTACTGGTTACATAGTGGATCACTGTCTGGAGGTATTGGTTACGTAGTCTTACACTGTCTGGAGGTATTGGTTACATAGTTGCATGCCCGGAGAGCAGAAGGTCATGGGTTCGATCCTCAGATGGTACTTGTTGTCACCCTGCCTGGCGCTCAGCATTTAGGGACTAAAGGACTGGTCAGCTCGGAGTCAGTATACTGTGTCTGAGTCGGGTATTCATGTTAAACTGCGGCATGGTATCTCAGTGGGCAAGCGCTATAAAATCAGCATTAGTCTTGACTAGTACAAGCAGACACACACACACATGCATGCACAACGCTATATAAGTGCAATAATCTTGAACGCAAAGTTTAACCACATTTGGCCTCATCTCACCTCACCATGTCATGTTGAAACAGTTAGGAGAAAAACATTCTGAAAATTAATCAATGATCAACTACAAGTACACTTTGATATTAAAATTATCCAAATTCTTCATCATTTGTCTTTCATTCATTATAGAAAATGCCTGTTCATCTTAAAATGTTTGTGTGTATCCAGGCAACCGATGACTTGTCTCTCTTGAAGTCGACAGTTGGTATAAAGGTCATCATCCAAGAGGTCAACCTTTTACCTAACTGTGATTCCGTACCAAACCAGCTGAAAGTGGACCTCAGCATTCCTGTTGGTGATGAGATCTACCAGGTGGTTTGCACTGACGCCAACTTCAGGCCAACATTGAACCAAGTCAGCTATACCATGCAAGGTAGCTTATGAGCACCAAAGTACATAAGATACTTATTCCATTCTCAACTTCCTGGGGAGTATTGAAATACCAAATAATGTAGATGTGGTTCCTCCAGAAATGTGCATACCTGAATAAAACCAGTAAATGACGTTCACAAAACAAATACCATCATCAATACTTCACAGTTTTGTACATGGTATGTCCCTCTATCACCTTTGAATACACATTACCGATGAACAAATACTCATAAGAAAGGATCCCCTAAAACGAAGCATCTTCCCTAGACAGGGAGTGGACTGACCATAAAAGTCCAGTTTCCACCCTTGCCAAACTTTCCTGGAATTTCTGTGCTTGATCGTAGCGCAACCAGTGGCTATTACGAGTTATGTCCCTTCTCTGTCCCTCCTATAGAACAATCAGATGCCAACTCTCATATCATTTGCATTTGCTTCAAACAAAATGGTGGCACATTTTAAAGACAATCTGATCGATAATTAAAATCTAAATTGTAATAAAATGGGTCTTCCTTCACAAAGTGCATCTTATCACATGAGCACCTTAATTGAAAACATGAAAAGATTTTGAAAATACCTGTTGACACTGAGTTGGTGGTACACATGCTTTGCAAATCCTGCAATCAATTGAAATCTTCACATCAGTTTCAAACCGGATGTTGATTTTGTTATACAATTTTGAATGAACAATGCAAATACTCGTTTGTCCAGCCAAATTATAACTCCATAATCCCAGCCTAGTTCGGCAAGGGTGGAAACTGGGCTTTTACAGTGAGTTAACTCCCTTGCCTTGGGAAGATTAAGAAGCAAAGAATTTCAGTTTGATTTAAAATCTTCCAAAATCTGTAACTATATTTATTATATTTTCAAATAGTGATGCATTATGGTGATGTTTTTTGCTTCAGAGGCTTTTTCTGTAAAGACACCCTAGAAATTATTAATGCTTAAATGAATCCCTAATACCCTACGCTTGTCATATTGGATTTGACATGTTTAAATGATAAACGGTTGGTTATAATTGTGCCCTGTCTGATGGTGTCATCATACCTAAACAGTATGTGTTCATGCTATCAACCACTGCTTTTTCTGGTCCATGTGGCGATGGTGATAATTAGCTACAGTCTCACTATCTGGGATGTAAAACAATTCTCACTTCCTCTTCTACTCACTCTTACATGAAGACCATTGAATGAGACGGCTCAGTTGTCACACACGTGTCTAGCTTCAGACTACTTTGCCCTGGACTCTGACGGGAGGATCACGGTGAAGCAGTCCCTGTCTCTCACCACGTCCACCTACGCCCTGAGGATAGGAATCACAGACGGACCCAGCAACCAACAAGTCACAGTCGTTATTAGTGTTACATGTACGTTTATATTTCATAAATTATGAACACAAGATGCCATTTAGAAAGTTGTCAAATGTAACAAATGTCATATTTGGGATAACACTCTTAATAAATTAAAAGTACAGATTCTAGTATAACTTGTCAGAGGGGTACACAAAATACATAATCTAGACTACCAGTTGTCAGACTTTCATTTTGTGGAAGCCTCGGTGGCTGAGTGGGTTAGATCGCTGACTAATCTGCTGGTGATAAGGTGCTTTACTCTGGATTGGACTCTACCCAAAAAGGTACCAGAATCTGTACTTTTCTAAGAAAGTGTTGTACCAAATAAAACATTTCTTACATTTCATTAAGAATGGTCTGTTCTCCAGTACCCCATGCTGTTCCCCAGTCCCCTCTACTGGTCCCCAGTAGATATTATAATGATATACCATGGTATAGTTGATCTCCAGTACCCCATGCTGTTCCCCAGTTCCCTCTACTGGTCCCCAGTAGATATACCATGGTATAGTTGATCTCCAGTACCCCATGCTGTTCCCCAGTCCCCTCTTCTGGTCCCCAGTAGATATACCATGGTATAGTTGATCTCCAGTACCTCATGCTGTTCCCAAGTCCCCTCTACTGGTCCCCAGTAGATATACCATGGTATAGTTGATCTCCAGTACCCCATGCTGTTCCCAAGTCCCCTCTACTGGTCCCCAGTAGATATACCATGGTATAGTTGATCTCCAGTACCCCATGCTGTTCCCAAGTCCCCTCTACTGGTCCCCAGTAGATATACCATGGTATAGTTGATCTCCAGTACCCCATGCTGTTCCCAAGTCCCCTCTACTGGTCCCCAATGGGTATACCATGGTATAGTTGATCTCCAGTACCCCATGCTGTTCCCAAGTCCCCTCTACTGGTCCCCAATGGGTATACCATGGTATAGTTGATCTCCAGTACCCCATGCTGTTCCCAAGTCCCCTCTACTGGTCCCCAGTAGATATACCATGGTATAGTTGATCTCCAGTACCCCATGCTGTTCCCAAGTCCCCTCTACTGGTCCCCAATGGGTATACCATGGTATAGTTGATCTCCAGTACCCCATGCTGTTCCCAAGTCCCCTCTACTGGTCCCCAATGGGTATACCATGGTATAGTTGATCTCCAGTACCCCATGCTGTTCCCAAGTCCCCTCTACTGGTCCCCAGTAGATATACCATGGTATAGTTGATCTCCAGTACCCCATGCTGTTCCCAAGTCCCCTCTACTGGTCCCCAATGGGTATACCATGGTACAGTTGATCTCCAGTACTACATGCTTCTTGGAAGACTGTCTTAATGTGGATTGGGTGGCTTCAGAGTCTTCAGGAACATCAGTCACACTGTGCCATGAAACAAAATCAGCCTGTTACGTTTTCGGGGCCGTGGGTTCATGGGACATTGGAAGTGAAGTGACATTTGCTTAGCTTTTCACGATTTATGCTGATATGCATTCTGTGGAACTTGAGCATGTTTCTGTGCCCTAAGACAGATAGAGGGCTTGTGTTAGAACTTGATTGGGTTACATAGATACACTTGTCAGAACAAACGGGTATGTCTCCACCTCCCACTCAGTTCCTTTCTGTCCTGATAATGTCACAAGTCCTCTATTGCATAACGGCAAAATCCTCTTTCATACAGCTATACTGAATAATGCTGCAATGGTTTAAGAACCCATGCACTCACTTTACGATACACATGGCGTACTTCGACTTCCAGATGCCACTTGAACGGTATTGGAGTTTCAAATATGTTTTGAAATAGGACTTTTTTCTGACATATTCTTCCACTTGTGCTTTCAGTGACACAGGATTTCACTGTTGAGCTTGTAAACATTACAACCACGTCCATCCAGATTCAGTGGAGCTTTAAGCGAGCCGACTACGCCCAGATTGTCACTCACTTCATTGTGGAGTTCCAGGGTGGGGACAAGCAGGGCGTTCCCATGAAGCTACAGGGTGACCTGCAGGGGACAGTCCTGACTGGTCTTGCACCTGGCACAACTCATGTCATTGCTGTCAAGGCTGTCACAATATTTGGCACAGCCAGATCAAACACATTGACAACCAAAACGAAAGGTGAGATTATATCATTACGTGTAATGTAGAACCTATGGAGTCAATGAAGACTTTTAAGTTATTTCATTCATTCAATAAATTTTTTAATAAAGTTCAATATCCTTTTTGTGATCATGGATCTTAAAATTCAAGTTTGGAAAGCTCATCTTCATCATTAAGGCGGTCAACTCAACAACCTGGTACATATAAGTATTATTTTTGCCACCAGTTGCAACCTGATGGTGTAGGAAATATAAAATTTATAGAACCAGGTAATGAAACCTTGTTTGTTATTGTGACAGATATTCCTGTGCTGAGTAAGATAATCGTGAGGTACAAGGACAAGAACACACAGTGGACCGCTGGCTATAACGACCCTAACTCCATGGTCTTCAGGAACTATGCAATAACAGCTGAAGCCAGCGTAAGCATGATCCTCAGTTACACTCAACACACACCACCTCAATGCACACACTCACACCACCTCAACACACACATGCTACATCTCAACACACACCACCTCAACACACACACAAGCACCACCTCAACACACACCACCTCAATGCACACACACACCACCTCAACACACACACGCTACATCTCAACACACACCACCTCAACACACACACACAAACACCACCTCAACACACACCACCTCAACACACACACACAGCACGTCAACACACACACACACACACCACCTCAACACACACACACAGCACGTCAACACACACACGCTACATCTCAACACACACCACCTCAACACACACACGCTACATCTCAACACACACCACCTCAACACACACACACAAACACCACCTCAACACACACCACCTCAACACACACACACAGCACGTCAACACACACACGCTACATCTCAACACACACCACCTCAATGCACACACACACACCACCTCAACACACACACACTACATCTCAACACACACCACCTCAATGCAGACACACACACCACCTCAACACACACCATCTCAACACACACACAAACCACCTCAACACACACCACTTCAACACACACCACCTCAATGCACACACACACACCACCTCAACACACACATGCTACCTCTCAACACACACCACCTCAATGCACACACACCACCTCAACACACACCACCTCAACACACGCACACTACATCTCAACATACACCACCTCAATGCACACACACACCACCTCAACACACACACGCTACCTCTCAACACACACCACCTCAATGCACACACACACACCACCTCAACACACACCCGCTACATCTCAACACACACCACCTCAATGCACACACACACACCACCTCAACACACACACACACACACACCACCTCAACACACACCACCTCAACACACACACACAGCACGTTAACACACACCACCTCAACACACACCCGCTACATCTCAACACACACCACCTCAATGCACACACACACACCACCTCAACACACACCACCTCAACACACACACACACACACACCACCTCAACACACACCACCTCAACACACACATGCTACATCTCAACACACACCACCTCAATGCACACACACACACCACCTAAACACACACCTCCTCAACACACACACACACACCACCTAAACACACACCACCTCAACACACACACACACACACCACCTAAACACACACCACCTCCATGCACACACACATACCACCTCAACACACACACGCTACCTCTCAACACACACCACCTCAATGCACACACACATACCACCTCAACACACACACGCTACATCTCAACACACACCACCTCAATGCACACACACACACCACCTCAACACACACCACCTCAACACACACACACACACACACCACCTCAACACACACACACAGCACGTTAACACACACCACCTCAACACACACCACCTCAACACACACCCGCTACGTCTCAACACACACCACCTCAATGCACACACACACACCACCTCAACACACACCACCTCAACACACACACACACACCACCTCAACACACACCACCTCAACACACACATGCTACATCTCAACACACACCACCTCAATGCACACACACACACCACCTAAACACACACCTCCTCAACACACACACACACACCACCTAAACACACACCACCTCAACACACACACACACACACCACCTAAACACACACCACCTCCATGCACACACACATACCACCTCAACACACACACGCTACATCTCAACACACACCACCTCAACACACACCACCTCAACACACACACACACACACACCACCTAAACACACACCACCTCAACACACACACACACACACACACACCACCTAAACACACACCACCTCAATGCACACATACACACCACCTCAACACACACATGCTACATCTCAACACACACCACCTCAATGCACACACACACACCACCTAAACACACACCTCCTCAACACACACACACACACCACCTAAACACACACCACCTCAACACACACACACACACACCACCTAAACACACACCACCTCCATGCACACACACATACCACCTCAACACACACACGCTACCTCTCAACACACACCACCTCAATGCACACACACATACCACCTCAACACACACACGCTACATCTCAACACACACCACCTCAATGCACACACACACACCACCTCAACACACACCACCTCAACACACACACACACACACACCACCTCAACACACACACACAGCACGTTAACACACACCACCTCAACACACACCACCTCAACACACACCCGCTACGTCTCAACACACACCACCTCAATGCACACACACACACCACCTCAACACACACCACCTCAACACACACACACACACCACCTCAACACACACCACCTCAACACACACATGCTACATCTCAACACACACCACCTCAATGCACACACACACACCACCTAAACACACACCTCCTCAACACACACACACACACCACCTAAACACACACCACCTCAACACACACACACACACACCACCTAAACACACACCACCTCCATGCACACACACATACCACCTCAACACACACACGCTACATCTCAACACACACCACCTCAACACACACCACCTCAACACACACACACACACACACCACCTAAACACACACCACCTCAACACACACACACACACACACACACACCACCTAAACACACACCACCTCAATGCACACATACACACCACCTCAACACACACATGCTACATCTCAACACACACCACCTCAACACACACCCGCTACATCTCAACACACACCACCACAATGCACACACACACACCACCTCAACACACACACACACCACCTCAACACACACACACACCGACTCAACACACACACACACACACCACCTAAACACACACCACCTCCATGCACACACACATACCACCTCAACACACACACGCTATATCTCAACACACACCACCTCAATGCACACACACATACCACCTCAACACACACACGCTACATCTCAACACACACCACCTCAATGCACACATACACACCACCTCAACACACACATGCTACATCTCAACACACACCACCTCAACACACACACACACCACCTCAACACACACACGCTACATCTCAACACACACCACCACAATGCACACACACACACCACCTCAACACACACACACACCACCTCAACACACACACACACCACCTCAACACACACATACACCACCTCAATGCACACACACACCACAACACACACACCACCTCAACACACACATACACCACCTCAACACACACACACACACACACAGTAGGTGATACACAGCTTCTGTTCTTCTGTTACAGTTGAAGGAGGGACTCAAGGCTGTTGATGGATTGCATGCAGTGACAGTTATTGGTCTGAGGTACATTGGCAAAGTGTTCCACTTACTATAACTCAAAACTATATCATATTTCATCAACAATATTGTACAGTTAACAATGTATAAAGTCATATGTGGATTCAAAGGGCGGCATGCACAGACACATGCCCCACTTCTTGAATGGATGCTACTTTTGCAGAGTGGGTAGAACATGTGTAAGAGTATAAAAAACACATAACGGTATGATTTGGTGACATGTTTTCAATGAAAGTGAACAAGCATTTGCATGTTGCATGATATTGACAAGTGCACCCTCTGTTTCCCCAAAAGCCATGTCTACTCATGTAGACACAATATTTAGTGATGTTTTTAATGCTACAATATATGAATGGCAACTTTGTAGTTATGAATGAAATGGGTGATTTGTGCATGCAGCTCTGGGAGTGTTATGGTGGATGCTCTTGTGGCCGTCAACCAGTCTGGGAGCATCACACAGGCTAAAAGTGTATTCCAGGCCGTTGTCTACTCCGGGACACTTGGCCCTCATGTCGATGGGGGCTCTGCAGATGTGAAGAATAGAGGTTAGTGAAATTTGTTCCACATTAACAAGGTGGTGCTTTAACCAGTTTGTTGCTGTGAAATTTGTTCCACATTAACAAGGTGGTGCTTTAACCAGTTTGTTGCTGTGAAATTTGTTCCACATTAACAAGGTGGTGCTTTAACCAGTTTGTTGCTGTGAAATTTGTTCCACATTAACAAGGTGGTGCTTTAACCAGTTTGTTGCTGTGAAATTTGTTCCACATTAACAAGGTGGTGCTTTAACCAGTTTGTTGCTGTGAAATTTGTTCCACATTAACAAGGTGGTGCTTTAACCAGTTTGTTGCTGTGAAATTTGTTCCACATTAACAAGGTGGTGCTTTAACCAGTTTGTTGCTGTGAAATTTGTTCCACATTAACAAGGTGGTGCTTTAACCAGTTTGTTGCTGGTTTGATTAGGTTCAAGCTGTAGAGATGCAGCCGAGATGCGACCGTGGTGTAACATAAAACTACATTCACTCACTATCATGTCTTTGATATGCCATGAACACTACCTGTACTCCTCTGTGGAAACTATATATTTGAGGATGATTGTTTCTGTTTCTAGGATTTATGTTTTGTAACACACTAGTGATTGTTTTCTTGTCAACCAAGTAGTGTTCTGTGAAAGCTGTAGCCCCTCGGGGGTAACACTGACTTCAACGACCGAAGGATGGTCAACAACAATTTATTACTTGCCCATGATGAGATCACCGTTCAATAAACATACACCTGTATTATTGTGTAATACCAAAGCGCATGCTTATGTACTGCAGGAACAAGTTTCATGAACAAATATTCTCAAAATCCCTCCGCTTTTTCAACGACTTTGCATGTGGATCTTGCAACAAAATTCCACAAATTATGGCATAGGGTATTGTGACGTGATTATAAACTTTGTGGTGCAGGCCCCATTCCACAAGGCGATCGTATTGTAGCACATTGACACTCGTAAGTCTGTGTTAAAGTATGGGAGTTATGATAACTTTAGCGCTATGATAGCTTCATGGAACGGACCCCTGAATTCTAAAGGTGGGCTGTTGTATATTATTTTATAAGTATCAACTTTTGACGTGTTTGAGGTATTGTTCTGTTAAACTCATATGGAGTAAGCTGTGGATCACATTAATGCCTGTCTATACTCACATGACAGTGAAAGTTTTAAAAAACATTATAAATGGCAAGTAATAAATAAAATACTAAACTCGCTCCCATGTATTAGCAAATATATTTCGCTCATCTGATACTAGAACTATTCACTTGTTTCATAAAATTAGTATTACACGGGAGTTTGTTTAGTATTCTATATATTGTCAGTGTAAGCAATATACATTAGCATGTAGCTTGTATATGTGTTGCTGAAGATACTGGGGCTCAAGAGATCGCATGCACGGGGCGATAAATTTGTTCTCTTCATTTTATGAATGAGAGTCCCCTAAATTTGGCAAACTCCAAGGAAAAAAATAATAATTGCCGTTTTTGATTTATAATGTACTTTTATGTTTTTGTTTTAACATATATTTCAAGAGCTTTCTTGATAGGAAAGTCAACCATGACAGCATTTTCAATTTTAATCTTTTGGCTGTGTACCAGGAAAACCTGTTGAAAAAAAAAAAGGTCTTTTGTGAATGTATGGCATTTTAATTTTATTTGCCTTTCACAATTTCAGACAAGTATGCAGTTATAAACTCCATGACCCTTGGTTCGGGCGTCACGACCGCTGTGAGCGAGGATGGGAATGCATCTGTAAAGTGTGTGTTCAGACTGGTGGGAGCTAGTCTCACCCCCTCAGTCAGATGGACACTGAATGACAAGGCCATATCTGCTACATCCTCCGGCAAATACACAACCAATATCACCAAACTGAATACGGATGTGTTCGGATATGTCGCTAAGCTTGATATTGTCTCTGTTGGAATACAAGATAATGGTATGTACTGAACTGAACACTTGCATTTACTTTGTGAGAATTTGCATTACAAGTTGAAGCTGTGGACTACGGGAATTGTCATTGTTTTTCTGAATATCACAATCTCACTAAAATCAGATCTAAGTACTCGATGCTGCTAAACAAAGATCTGAGGACATCCCTTTACAGGTCATGTCAGAACGACCTTTCGCAAACCTTGACCTCCCACTGAAACGACTGACAAGAAGTCGACATCAGCCAATAAGAAAGCAGCTTTCTCAAGCTTTACGGCACTCATTTCAACCTGGGGACTTCCATTTCAGACTACGCTTGAAAAATATGTTGACACAGTTCTCGATTAAAATTTTGAAAACTGAACAAAAGGACATTCCGGAATGTCCCATATATCATTGCGATTGCATGACAAAGCTTCCCACATACTGTGCAACGCCTCCTCCTTTCAAATGTTTAGCCCACGCAAACGAGAGATAGACGATAATTTTGACGGAATCAGTCATACGGGCCGTAACTGTCGTTCGGAATACCCCGTGTCAGCGTTTTCGAGGTTGCATGATTTGAAAAAACTCATTTTAATGAGATTGGGAATATCATGATTTATTAGTGCAAATACAGTCATAATCTATATACATAGATAAAGACAAAGAAAGACAAATATAGTTGTTCACTGTTGAAATCCAGCGGTTATAAAGTAGATATACTCCTCATTTTTGATAGGGATAATCATACACAGTGATTCCTTGATGTAACACTTCTAGATGTACAGCCAGCCTGGACACAGCAACGAGTAACCCTTAGCTTCCAAACATTCATGAAGATTTAATTCCCATCCACGATACACATGTGTGTATTTGTCAAACAATTACCTTCATGATACATTGTATCTGGCTGCAAAAACATACTGTATACAAATCACAGCAACCAGAAACTTAAGCTGCATTGTTCCATTTAAAAATCATCTCAGCATGTTGTGATTAGTACGATAACTCGTGGAATTTCTTCCAACTTAAAACCGACTGCATGTAGTGCAATAACAACAGCAGAAGCAATGGCTTCCTGTATTTAATTCAGACTTCAGTTACTGTGAGAGGCCAGAAACAAAATATTATGAGAATCAGTTTTGTGTAACGTGGAAATATATGTGGAGTAGTATATAGCAGGAAATGTTCTGGCAGACAAGAGTCTCGACAGAAATCACCAGGAACTCACGCATGAACTCACTCACACATAAACTCGCACATGAACTCACTCACACATAAACTCACGCATGAACTCACATACTCATGAACTGCATTTTTTTTCACAGGCACATACAAGTGTGAGCTGGCATCTGATGACATTCTGGAGCATCGTTCATTACCTGTGTTAGTTTTACAAAAACCTGTAGTTGCCCTTCAACCTCTGACCAACTTTGTGAAAGCCCGGGATGCGGTTGAGCTCAACTGTTCCATGCTGTCTGGGCAAGTGGATGCTGTGGTGTTCACCTGGTACAGAGATAACGAACTCATCTCCAACCCACCAGGTAACCACGACAATAACACTCCCCATCATTGCTTATATTCCATTAGAAATTCTGATGCAGAGGTTTCCGAAACTGCAATATCCTGAACAGACTTGCAGTGTTTGAGTGAGTGAGTGAGTATGGTTTTACGCCGCTTTTAGCAATATTCCAGCAATATCACGGGGGGGGGGACACCAGAAATGGGCTTCACACATTGTACCCATGTCGGGAATCGAACCTGGGTCTTCGGCGTGACGAGCAAACGCTTTAACCACTAGGCTACCCGACCGCCCCCTGCAGTGTTTGAAATAAAAACAATCTCATTAAAATCAGATGTGAGTTCTCGCTACCCCTAAACAAAGGACATCCCATTACGGGTCACGTCAGACCAACCTTGCGCAAACTTTGACCAACCAATGGATTGACCAATCAGAAGGGAGCTTTTTCGTGCTTTACGGCATCAATTTCAAATTGGCGACTACACCTTGAAACATATTTTGACAAATTCTCGATTACAATTTTGAAACCTGAACAAAAGAACATTCTGGAATGGCTAATAGATGGTCTAGATTGAATGGATTCAGTCGTTAAACCCGTAAGTATCGTTCAGAATACCCCGTGTTATGCATTTCGAGGGAGAAATCACATTCTGACTGTCACTTTCATAATCTGGTAGTCGACGCTCTGTTTAGTTGGATGAAAGGTCGTTCTGATCTACCTGCCATGGCACACGGGCAGGTGCTTATTTCAAACACTGCAGAGTTGCCTCCCTTAGTGGGAAGGATCTGTTGGTCATGTGTTTGACCTCCACTTTCATCCCAATAATGTTCCTCATTTTGTAAGTGCCAGACTTCTGCTGATGGGTTTCACCTAAGTGGTCAACTTCAATGACCCTCATCACTTCTGGGGTTCCTCCCTCATAACACTGGCCCACTGTAATGGAGACCCATCTCACTCCATGTGTCCATGTGCCCGGAGTTCCCTTGGTCCTCAATAACTTTGTCCATTGAGAGTCTGTTGTATGTACAAATATCTCGTATAAAATAATCATTTGATAAGCATTTATTTTGGCCTATAAAATTAAAGACAAGCATACAAATATTTGTCAATTCTTTAAAAAAAAAACACAATGACCAATGAGTTTCAAAGAAGTATATCCGTGAAGAGGACCTTGAACCTTCAATGAAAGTATTATGTACTGAGTATCTGTGTTTTCATATTTGTTGCACCCATAAAGATCCAGGTTAGAATAAGTCTTCAGCAACCCATGCTTGACATAAAAGGCGACTAACGGGATTGCGTGGTCAGGCTCGCTGACTGGTCCAAACTCAAGTATTTACAGAACATCGTCATACGGCAGGAATGTTGCTGAGTGCAGCATTAAACAACAAACAAAAAATCATGTTTGTTGCAATGAAATAATTTGCATAGAATAATTATAATTATAATGTATGCCTGTTATTTCCAGTGGTGGACGTTTCGCCTACAAAGCAAACACTGAAGATCCAAAGTGCCCTGTCCAACAGCGCCTTCTCCTGCCAAGTGATGAACACCGGCGGCAGCACCACCAGCCCCACGGCCACCATTAGGATCATTAAGAGTGGTTGGTAGATTCAGCTGTTTTACCTTCACAGGGTGTATTAAATATACCAGTCTGCCTGGTGTATTCATGGGGTGCTAGCTTGCATTCTCATAAAGATCTTTTACTCTGATTTAAGAATAATGACGCTCAGAGTGAACCACCCAATCTAAATAGATTATCCATTGGTTCTTGTACCAGATGTTAGCCTTCTTTAGCAATTCATCTTCATTTCTCTACCACGTTGCGGATACAACAGAGAACCAACACAGAAAACAAACATTCTTTTGCTGGAACTCCAATTTTGTTGTAAGTGCCATGATGCTGAGTGATGACAGGTGTATGAAATATTCACACTCATATTATGTCCCGACCTTAATTATTTACATTCAGAACTTGTCATTTTAAGATTTTTTCAAGATACAGAAATCAGATATGCTGGTCAAAACGTTTTGCTCATTCCTCCTGAGAATTTAGAAGTTGATTGGCTGATTTGAAAGTTCACCTGACGTGATGTCCTATGGAAGTATATTCAGATATTCGTGCAGAGAGTTATCGTGTCAGACTAAAAGATCCGATTTGAATGAGATTGGCTGTCTTGTTGAGGATACCCATTTCCTTGAAACTATTTACATTTCACAAAGTTAGTTTTAGATGTGTACACATTTATTCCCAAATATTTAAGCATTAAATTAATTAATAAGAGAGCTAACGCAGAATTGTTTGTAAACAATTTGCTCATTTCTGAAAATTAGTGCAAGTTTGTAAAAGTTTTAGCTAGTTCAGTATCTGTACCAAAGTTAAGTCCCTTGAACGATGTCAAACTGTGTTTTATTCAAATGTTTTCAATGAACAGATGTGAAAACCTGTAACCAGTCCAGTGATTCACAAGGAACAGTGTGGATGCCTTCTCCTGTTGGTCAGACCATTACCATGAACTGTCCTCCCGGCTATCAAGGTGAGGGACGTGACGTGATGTGTTGTGTTGGTTGGGAATTAATATCACTGTGCAGATTGTGGAAAGATCTGTTACACAAGGCATTTTGTTTGTTGCTTAACGGAGCAGTCAGCAATTTTCCAACTGTGTGACGGAGGCTGCTAATTGATTAAGTCGGGATCAGACAAACAAGTGATGGATATTATGAGCAGCATCCCGTGCTGTCAGTGTAAGATTATATGCAACCAACCAAGCACTGGTTGCTGGAGACCAGTTGTAACCTGGAATCCTCACTGGCTCATGATGAGGTGGCAGTCATCAGTCATCTTCCCGAGGCAAGGGAGTTAACTGACTGTAGAGGTCCAGTTTCCACCCTTGCCAAACTAGGCTGGAATTTCTGGGCTCGTTCATCAGCGCCACCAGTGGCTATTACAAGTTATGTCCCTTCTATGTCCCTCCTATTGACCAATCAGATTCCACCTCTCATATCACTTGCATTTGCTTCAAATAAAATGGTGTCGCCCAGTGCAGACATTTTGATCGACAATCAAAATCTAATATGTAATAAGATGGGCGAACACCTTGATTTAAAAACATGAAAAGATTGTTGATACTAAGTTGACGGTACACATGCTCTGCAAATCCTGCAATCAACCAAAATCTGCACGTCAGTTTACGAACCAGATGTCGATTTTCTTTTGCGATTTTGATTGGATAATGCATAGACTCGTTAGTCCAGCCAAAATATAACTCCATAATTTCAGCCTAGTTAGGCAAGGGTGGAAACTGGACTTTTATTGTCAGTTAACTCCCTTGCCTTGGGAAGATGTCATCCCTGGATGTTATGTTATTGTTTGTAATGTTATGTCAAACAATGAACCTGCAAAACATACATGTCCTCAACAGTTTACATCTGATTATATATTTAAATTTGATAATAGGGCCTTATAGGTCTTTATGGTAATTGGTTATTTTTGGTGATTATTTAAATTCTATGTTGGTAACTTGTTCACAGGCTTGGTCAAGAGAGTGTGTGGCAGTGCTGGTCAATGGCAGAGAGCCAACTACGCTGACTGCAGGCTGGGGACACTGGTGGAACTCCAGGAGCAGGTAGCAACACTGGCAGCATCGGGATTGGGGATGTTTGGTTACCTAGAGGGGGGGTGTCGGTTACCTAGAGGGGGGATGTTTGGTTACCAAGAGGGGTGATTGTTTGGTTACCTAGAGGAGAGATGTTTGGTTACCAAGAGGGGGGATTGTTTGGTTACCTAGAGGGGGGATGTTTGGTTACCAAGAGGGGGAATGTTTGGTTACCAAGAGAGGGATTGTTTGGTTACCTAAAGAGGAGATGTTTGGTTACAAAGAGGGGGGGATTGTTTGGTTACCTAGAGGGGGGATGTTTGGTTACCAAGAGGGGGAATGTTTGGTTACCAAGAGAGGGATTGTTTGGTTACCTAAAGAGGAGATGTTTGGTTACCTAGAGGGGGGATGTTTGGTTACCTAGAGGGGGATTGTTTGGTTACCTAGAGGGGAGATGTTTGGTTACCAAGAGAGGAGATGTTTGGTTACCTAGAGGGGGGATGTTTGGTTACCTAGAGGGGAGATGTTTGGTTACCAAGAGGGGAGATGTTTGGTTACCTAGAGGGGGGATGTTTGGTTCCCAAGAGGGGGGATTGTTTGGTTACCTAGAGGGGGGATGTTTGGTTACCTAGAGGGGGGATGTTTGGTTCCCAAGAGGGAGATGTTTGGTTACCTAGAGTGGGGATGTGTGGTTACCTAGAGGGGGGATGTTTGGTTACCTAGAGGGGGGATGTTTGGTTACCTAGAGGGGGGATATTTGGTTACCTAGAGGGGGGATTGTTTGGTTACCTAGAGGGGGGGTGTCGGTTACCTAGAGGGGGGATTGTTTGGTTACCAAGAGGGGGATTGTTTGGTTACCTAGAGGGGAGATGTTTGGTTACCAAGAGGGAGGATTGTTTGGTTACCTAGAGGGGAGATGTTTGGTTCCCAAGAGGGAGATGTTTGGTTACCTAGAGGGGGGATGTTTGGTAACCTAGAGGGGGGATGTTTGGTTACCTAGAGGGGGGATTGTTTGGTTACCAAGAGGGGGGATTGTTTGGTTACCTAGAGGGGAGATGTTTGGTTACCAAGAGGGGGGATTGTTTGGTTACCTAGAGGGGAGATGTTTGGTTACCTAGAGGGGAGATTGTTTGGTTACCTAGAGGGGAGATGTTTGGTTACCTAGAGGGGGGATTGTTTGGTTACCTAGAGGGGGATGTTTGGTTACCTACAGGGAGGATATTTGGTTACCTAGAGGAGCGATATCTGGTTACCTAGCATTTGGGGAGGAATATGTGAGTATTGGTCACCAGGTTTTCCAAAAGGGGTATATTTGGTTACCTTGAGGTGGGGGGGTATTTGGTTACCTAGAATTTGGGGAGGAATATTTTTGTTATTACTTACATAGAGGTTGGGGGTATTTGGTTCCCTAGAGGGGAAAGGGGTATTTTGGATCACTATGTGAGACTGCAGCAGTATTTGTTTTAACTCCCATGCAGCTGGACACCCTACAGACGGGCTTGGAGATAACGGACACTGAGGCAGTTGTGAGTCAACTGAAGGATGTGACAGGAAGCAACCCGCTGGTGGCCGGTGACGTGGACACCTCCATCAACATCATCAACCAAATTGTCAGCATTTCGGAGAATCAGACGGAAGTCAAGAAGGAACTAGTCAAGGTATCATATCACTCTGCCACCAGCATGCTTCAAGATCTTATTAACAAACAAATATAAACTGGTATTGGATAAAGATTTGCAACATCAAGTTTTTTATATTGTAATAATCCAAACAAGTTTCTTGTTGTAGAATCATATTTTAATGATTAAAATTGAACATTATATTATCCAACTTATTGTTGAGGGTGTGACTGAGTGTGTGTGATTGCAGGACATGGTGGAGAGCGCCAGCAACATGTTACAGGCCGACAAGACTGTGTGGGAGGACCTGGACAAGGAGGTGAGGCTTGCTGCACACCAGATAAACATCATATGCAATAACATACAAATCTGAAACACATAATGTTTATCGACATTGTAAAATACAAAACAGTTATCATGCATTCATTCAAAAGGGTCAGATTGTCCATCAGTTTTACGTATCGATGTTATTTTCCTGAATTTATGGCCATTGTCATCTTGAGAGTGAAAAAAGACAAACCATACTAACAGATTCAGCCAATTTTACATTATTGTGGAACTTTATCAGTTTGTAAATACATGTAGTCATTGAAAATTGATAAAAGGCAAAAGTACAAATATCAGAAGATAGCCTGTCAGGTGATATTGATACACAGGCCTTATGGCTGCAGTCTCATGAAATGAATATTGGAGACAGCATCAAATATCAAATTTATCCAAACTTTTTGGAAGAAGCAGCAGCATTGATCAAGTTTCCCATTGCACAACATGACATGGTGTGTTTCAGAACAAGCAGGGCGTCACATCCTTGTTGAAGACCCTGGACAATGTTGGTCAAGTGGCCAGTCAGAAGTCCAACACCTCAAGCAATGATGAGAGTCTTACCATCATCACCACCAAAAGTATAGGTACTATATATAACAGTGACAGCTCAAGAGAGGGGTCAGGGGGTTGTACACCCTGCCTCCCTCCTCCCAACCACCCCGACCGCCTCCGTGGTCCAGTGGTAGAGCATCCGCCCGGAGAGCGTAAGGTCCGAGGTTTGATCCCAGGCCTTGTCATGAGTGGGGTATTTATGTTAAACTGTGGCATGATATTTCCGTGAGCTAGCACTATAAAATGGCATCAGTCCAGACTAGTACAATCACACACACACACACACACACACACACACACACACACACACACACACACACACACACACACACACACACACACACACACACACACACACACACACCTTGGGACAATATCGGAACTTGTTTGTAATTGATTGACAGATGTCGTCATATGAAGGATGAAGTAGTTTCAGTATGTGACCTAAGGTTGTGCCTTATTGTGTCTTGCTGGCATGAACATAATAACTAGCCATGTTTACCACCAGTACCGGTAGGTAAACTTTGTGAAGTATGTGGAAATGAATTTTCTTATCATATACTTACAGTATCTGAGAAATAAAAAAAAACCATAAGTCTGGTAAGAATTTAAGAAAGTAAGTGAGAAATACACAAAATGTTTGTACAAATTCTTGGAAAAAGTAGGCAAGTATATATTTCTCTTCCTGTACATCTTTTATTTAGCCTTTCATTACTGCAATTTGTACAGATGCTGTGTTGTTAAATGTTAAATGTTATACCACTCTGGTGACAGTTTGGTTTGAATGATTTTGTAACATGCAAGTAGGGCTAGGACGGGTAACTCGGGTACCCAGGTCGGGTGGGTCCTGACTAGGACCCGGGTACCCACAGAACTACCCGGCCCCGTGGTTAGTCACGTGATATATTGTTAAATGACACAAATTCACTACAGCTCAGTAGTTACACTACAAACTGCTAATAATCGCATTTCTTTCTGACGATGCACACATTCTTTTTTACTTATAAATGTTTGAGTAAAGATAGGGCTTCAATCAACTTCAGTGAATGCATGATCTGATTGTTTGATACATGTATCTAAATAGTTTTGGCCATGGCTGGGGTAAAACAATTACCAATCAGACATTTGGTTCCCAACTCTTGAGACCTACAGCAGGTACCTGGGTAGGGACGGGTGATTGGGGGTCGGGTACCCGGGTAGTAAATTTGGACTCGTCCCAGCCCTACATGCAAGGCCATGTAGTACAATGCCTGCCTAATTCACAGGATTAGGATTTCTGGGTTGTATACTGTACAAGGTTGTCTTCACTTCCACAGTCCTGGCTTTTGGCAAGACCAACCCCAAGGACATCACCTTCCCCCAGGCCAACAGTGGTCAGTACCCACCATGGGTCCAGACGTCCAAGACCAAGGTCACTATCAAGGCACAGACGTACTCAGCCTCAGTACCAGGTAAACTGCCTACATATGTACATCAACACTGCTCTTCATTGCATAGGGATATTCCCATCATTTCAGGATACACCAATGTAGTTAGTTATACCATATGTATAGTTTGTGTCGGTATTAGAACAAGTGGTGAAAATACAGGGGAGGGTTTCTCTTTGGAAGACAAGCATGTTGTATCTGTCCGTCATGGTGTGCTGTTGTTGCCTGACTGTCTGGGTTGAAGGTTGTGTCAGGTCATCATGGTGTAATGTTGTTGCCTGACTGTCTGGGTTGAAGGTTGTGTCAGGTCATCATGGTGTAATGTTGTTGCCTGACTGTCTGGGTTGAAGGTTGTGTCAGGTCATCATGGTGTAATGTTGTTGCCTGACTGTCTGGGTTGAAGGTTGTGACAGGTCATCATGGGGTAATGTTGTTGCCTGACTGTCTGGGTTGAAGGTTGTGTCAGGTCATCATGGTGTAATGTTGTTGCCTGACTGTCTGGGTTGAAGGTTGTGTCAGGTCATCATGGTGTAATGTTGTTGCCTGACTGTCTGGGTTGAAGGTTTTGTCAGGTCATCATGGTGTAATGTTGTTGCCTGACTGTCTGGGTTGAAGGTTGTGTCAGGTCATCATGGTGTAATGTTGTTGCCTGACTGTCTGGGTTGAAGGTTGTGTCAGGTCATCATGGTGTGCTGTTGTTGCCTGACTGTCTGGGTTGAAGGTTGTGTCAGGTCATCAGGGTGTAATGTTGTTGCCTGACTGTCTGGGTTGAAGGTTGCGTCAGGTCATCATGGTGTAATGTTGTTGCCTGACTGTCTGGATTGATGGTTGTATCACATCGTCATGGTGTGACGTTGTTCCGTGACTGTGTGGATTGAAAGTTGTATCAAACCATCATGGTGTGACGTTGTTCCGTGACTGTTTGGATTGAAGGTTGTATCACACTGTCATGGTGTGACGATGTTCCGTGACTGTGTGGATTGAAGGTTGTATCACACCGTCATGGTGTGACGATGTTCCGTGACTGTGGATTGAAAGTTGTATCAAACCATCATGGTGTGACGTTGTTCCGTGACTGTGTGGATTGAAGGTTGTATCACACTGTCATGGTGTGACGTTGTTCTGTGACTATGTGGATTGAAGGTTGTATCACAACGTCATGGTGTGACGTTGTTCCGTGACTGTGTGGATTGAAGGTTGTATCACACTGTCATGGTGTGACGTTGTTCCGTGACTATGTGGATTGAAGGTTGTATCACACCGTCATGGTGTGACGTTGTTCCGTGACTGTCTGGATTGATGGTGAGCGATTATAATGCGTGACTTGTCTAAATACTTGACATCATCCAACAGCATAGATGATTGATTGTGCTGATTTATCTGACTGCTGTATTTTGCTGACTGTAATGGAGAACAACGTCCATTCATTTCATTTTACTATTTCATTCTAAGGCCTTATATTTTTTGTTTCACGGGCCCACCCCTACTGAAAAGCAGCCGAGGAAAACATTTATTAAACATAAAACTAAGTATTTTTATTATGTCTCCTGTTCGTAATATAAATCCTCAATAAAAAATGTTATATATAAATTCCATGTGCACATCAGTGATTCAAGAAGACTCCATGGAAGAATGATTTTTATGTAAACAAATAAATAAATGATTGACATAGCTGTTTATTTTATATGTTTATTTCGACTGACCTTGTTAAGAAAAGCTGGAATAAATCTGTGAAACATAAAATGTAAAAACTGTGGCTTATATTGATGGAGTGTGCTGAACCACTATGTAGAACTTTATATTACATTTATCATAAATTCATAATCCCAGTAACATATTTAGGCAAATATGCAGGGAGTGAGTGAGACTTGAATGTTTGTGCATACAATTTTCAGGAAAAGCGGAATTAATCCGTAAGTAGGAGCCCCAAGACTTTGTGTTGTTGCACAAAGTTTATTTCACCATAGTGCATGACAATAATCTTATGTTGTGATCACATACAATGCATGATGACAGCCATAGTTGGCCCCTGTTAGGTTTCCCAGGCTTGTCATAAAAGACGGCTGAGATAAAGATCAGTTGGTTGCAAAATGTGACCTGACTGTTTGCTGCTCATACTTCATGATAGCCAAACAGCACTGAAAACTGCTCCTGCTGTCAACCTTCAGATTGCCTGGTCCAGACCTGATCAATTTCAGGCAGTTGTGGTACAGCTGGGTTTTTGCTGACTGCAGCGTAAAACGACACTCACTCACTCACTCACTCACTCACTCACAGTTTTGTCTTGTGCACTTACATTTGATGAACACATTAACTTCAGCCAAAAAACAATTTCTTTTGTTTCTTGTTTCTCTCAAAACATTTGTCTTTCTCTATGCAAGGGCAGGTAACTCTGAGCACATCACAGTGGCACACTTGGCATGCTCTTCTCCCTTGTAAGCAGGGTGTGGAAAACATTGAATCATTAAATGGCAGAAATAACTTTGCTCAAACAAGAAACAAAAAGATTTGGCCCAATATGCAATATTATCACAGCATGACCGCATCAAGGAAAAATATTAATGACATAACAATGTTTATAACTTTAACAGCACATCATCATAGTATGCACTTTTCTATATTTCTGTGACATACTTGGAAACTGTTTGGGGACAGATATATACACCTGGACAACACCTGATTCTTTTATATTACTATAGGTAATCTGTCAGGGCATGACAGACTGACTATAGTAATATGAAAGAGTTGGTGTTCTTTAACTTCTATTCAGGAGTATATATGAACTAATTCATGAATGCTCAATATGTAATTTCTTTTTTAATTAAGATTATTTGAGGATATATGTTTGCGTTGTATTGTTGTTTTAAATTTGTTATTTCTGTATTTAAAAACATCAACCATCTAAGTGAAACTTAGACATGAAGAATAGGAGTGAATTCTATTTTTGAAATGGGATTCCAGGTTAGACTAATGTCTCTAATAACCTTTGTGATGCTTGTCATACAAGGCGATTATTGGATCAGGTGGTCAGGTCATGATGGTGTGGGACGCTGGTCATAAAATCAGTCACTGGTTTGCCTGGTCCAGACATGATTATATAACAGTCCACTGTCATATAGTTGGAATATTGAAGTCTGCAGCGTAAAACAACATTCACCCACTCCCTCATTTATTTGTGATAAGACCAGTAAGTATAACTTACAGATTCACCCACAGTGTCTACCTGTCTTGTTGAGGAGAAGAGACCACGTTGGGTTCATGTTTAAATGAATCAAGTATTAAGTAAACAGATTTCGAGGTTCACGTTTCAGTGTTTCTTTTGCATTTACACTAACCCCAAACAGTAATAACATATTGAATTTACAACAGCTCTTATAGAGTCTTGACTTGTTAGAAACATGTACATGTGTTAGGCATCATTCGTGGGCAATCAAGACAGCTCCCCTTCAGTGCAACAACCCGCCATGCACCAGTGGAGAGACAGTGTATCAGCTGCATGTGTTTTGTCAAATAGACTGGAAACACAAGGGCGGAAAAGCTTTTCATTACCCAGTGATTGTCATAACTGATTAAAAGGAAGAAATCTTGCAATTCCAATGTGAGATATGGTTGATTGTGTCATCGATCATACCTGATGTTATGGGTGAATGGTCGAGTATTGTTTTACGCCAGCTTTTAGCAATATTCCAGCAATGTCATGGCGGGGGAATCGAACCTGGGTCGTTAGTGTGATGAGCGAACGCTTGAACCACTAGGCTACCCCACCAACCCTCTGATGATATGGGCCGGTGTTCATACTGTCAACCACAGGTTTGCCTAACACCTGTCGCAAGAGATGACTATGAAATGTCGCAACATTCTCTTGCTCTCCCTTTAAAGGGTTCCAACCATATTGGAAATATTAGTGCAAAAAATTACATTATTTTGTCCTCCGTAACCTTGCAATAAAGTGTTCTGTTTAAAAGCAGGAAGTGAAAGTTTTGACCAATTGTTTTCTTACTCCCCCACCTCTCCAAAAAACAAAGCCTGCTTGTTCCAGTTATTCAGAAGTCATTTACATATTTTTCCTTTTGGGTGACTATGATGGCTTCTTGTATGTTAATATGTTTCCACACTTTCAGCAAACAACCTGATGGGATACAGTGGAGTGTTATATAAGGATATTGAAGAGCTGGTTAGCAGAAGGAAGGCAGAGACAGATGGGTAAGGATGCTGTACAGTTTGTTTGACAGGTTGACATTTTATATTCTTTTCCAGAACCACCTTTGATGATCTGCCAATACATTTGGGTGACTGATACATCAGAACCGGGTACTGAACTAAAAACAGTGATTTTTCATTCAACGTGTTAGAGGCCAAGGATTGCCTAGTGGTCTTTAACTCTCTGTGCAGAGTTGTGCCCCTTAGCTGACCTTATCCTCAAGTCATGGGTTCAAATCCCAGGTTTACCCTGATTATTCATTGATATTATTCTTGTCAGTACAGAGTTTCACAAAAATGGTCTGTCATCTGCATCAATGACTCACTTTTGTCATACATTAAGTTGATCTGGTGTGATATCGTCAAATTAGTTTCAAAGCGTTGAACCCACTCATTTAAAATGTGTGAATTTCGAGAACTGAATCACTGTCAAAGTTTCAATAAGTCTTCAAAACCTCTTTGCATACCTGAATGAAATGAAATATTTGTGTTATTCCAGAAGCACCATTCAAGATGTAGGCAGTGTGCCATTGGAGAAGAAAATTAACTCAAGGATACTGTCATTCTCCCTCATCCCAAGCATGACCACCAAACTGAACCCCTCTGTAACGCTGTCATTTGAACATCTTAATGTAAGTTGCTTTCATTTAGTAACAATTCCATATTTTTCCAAAAACTGATAATTGACAGAAAATATTTTTAAAGTTCAGTTATATTTAATTATGATCATTACAGACTGTGAAATTGTTAGATAATTTTAATATCCGTCTTATTTCCATATTTTCAGGGCAACTTCTCAGAACCGGTGTGTGGCTTCCTCAACTATTCAGCCCCGTGAGTCAGTTTATCATAATGCCCAATAGACTTATAGACAGCATGTAATCTCTGGTGTCCCCGTCGTGATATTGCTGGAATATTGCTAAAAGCGGCGTCAAACCAGGCTCACTCACCGCAGACAGCAACTTCTGCAGTTAATCATCTACAGTGACAGTTCAGCGTTATAGCCCTCACAGAAGTATGGTCCATGTACTCCCTGCTTCTCCAGAGAAGAGCCAACTCAAAAGAGGATATATGTAGTTACAATCAATAATTGTTGGCTGATTGTGTGTGTCCCTAAGCATGGATCAATGGCCATGCTTTTCCTACCCTCCCTAGATACTACCAGCCAGTATGTAACTGTAATATTGATTTAACAAATGTTATATTTGGGAAACACTTTCTTAGTACAGTACAAATTCTAGAACTTTGGGGTTTGAATTTGTACTTGACTAAGAAAGTGTTATCTTAAATATAACATTTGTTACATTTGACCACTTTCTTAAAGGCATTGTCTTTTCATGCAATATTGTAGGTTTGTCAGCACCATACCCGTGCTCGTGGGTTTCACCGAAGTGGTAAACATCTGAGACCTGCATCACTTCGGGCTTTCCTCCCACATTAAGCTGACACGCCGTGATGTGACTGGAATACTGTTAAAAGCGGCGTTAAACCCAACTCACTCACTCACTCATGCAATATTGAAGACAGTGCAGTAAAACAACATTCAGTCATTGACTTTACTTGTCTTAACCTGGCCTAAGACTTGCTACAACTCCTTTTAAATTAACCGTTTCCAGAAACTTTAATAGTTGGTCATAGGTACCGCAATTCAATGTTGCAGTAGTTATGGGTAGTTGTGGGTTTGAAACCCAGATTCTCCTTGATTAATATCTAGGTCTAAGCAAGGTGGTAAAGTCAACACCCTGCCTTACTTTGGGCTTTCCTCCAACATTGAGCTGACACACGGGGATATGTCCGATGTACATGGACTGGAGGGGTAGTCAAGTGGTTATAAAGTCTGGCTCATCACAAGGACATGGGTACAATTCTGTACCTGGGTACAATGTGTGAAGCCCTGTCTTGCTGTCCCTCATCATGATGGCTGGAGTACCATGTGGCTGGCTGTTAATATTTATTTGCTTCTTTGCTTCAGATATGAGCAGAATGGCCGCTGGTCATCTGAGGGCTGTAGAGTGGTCAACAATACGGAGAATATGACCGTCTGTGACTGTGACCACCTCACCAACTTCGCCATACTCATGAGTCCTGGGCGCATTGTAAGTATTTATGTATCATACTATAAGAATAAATTAATGAATGACCTACAAGGAATTAAGGTTTATCTTTCCCTCTTCGCACACTTGGGATCAATGACATGAATTCCTGAGAAAAAGATAAACTGTAATTCCGAGCCTCGAGTTGGTTATTTTCTTACTTACCCATAATCAACTTTACTGCAAACATCTCAGATCCCATCCCTAACCACCTTCGAACTTTCCAGCTGCTGTAACTCCAAATAAAAGTATCCCTATGCAACAGTAAACAAGTGACCTTTTCACAACACATCAGATTGCGTAAAATAGTTCCCTATTACAATTCAAATTTTGTATATTGTATCACTTACACTAATACAAAAACAACATACAAAATTAAGAAATATGTTGTTGCATTTAATTCTTTAACTGTTACAAATGCAAGTTTACATCTATTTAAGTCAACCAATTTTAAAGTTTTTTAAACATGAACAAGTTGATGCCGACATGTGTACCAGCACTAGAAGATGGATTGATGTAGAATATTTATCAAGTTGTAGTTATTTATTCTGAATCACAATCCAGAATTATCCGATGTCTCATTCCATATCAGCACATGGATGATAGACTGAAAGAACGAAGAACTGGAAAGTATATATAGTACTGGCGATCAATGAAAAGCCGAGTTATTTATAGAAAAACTGTAATTCCCAAGGGCATTACCATTACGGGACACTTACTCTTCTCTATCTGCCTTCCCTCATGGGTAGGAATTCATCACACACTAGGGTAGCACAGATTTGAGAAAACTCATTCATTTACAGGCTTTCCGGGTATGTTTTATAACCAATAGGTTGTATTTATTATCAGATTTTCCAGGATTTATATATTTTAGAAAAATTCCTACCATATTCCTGTTGAGCTGGAATTCAAGTCTGAAATTTTATGTACTTTCAGACGGAACAAGATGCCAAGATCCTGAGTATCATTTCGGCCGTTGGTTGCGGCATCTCCATCTTCTTCCTCGTCCTCACCATCTGCATCTACTGTGCCCTGTGGAGGTGAGACTCTATAGCATCCATAAGGTTCAGAATAGCTTGTTAATAACAGCCGTATCAAGCACCACATGTAGTTATGATTTCACATGGTCTACAGCAGTGCTGACGCAGTATGTGATGACTCAGTATGTGATGATGTCACGCTCAGGTCATCATCCTTGTAGTCCTGTGAATGCTACATTATTTTGTCAGCTTACATGATTTTGGAAAAATGGTTGAGATGAGATCACAGCCAACAGTGGTTATTACGAGTTATGTCCCTTCTACGTCCCTCCTATAGAACAGCCAGATTCCATCACTTGCAGTTGCTTCAAACAAAATGGCCGCACCTTGTGCAGACAATCTGATCGATAATCAAAATCTATATTGTGATAAAACAGGTCTTACATCAGGTGAGCACCTTCCTTAGAAACATGGATTTGGGAAGTATCTGTTGACACCAATTTGCCAGTACACATGTTTTGCAAATACAGCCTAGAAACTGGACTTTTACAGTCAGTTAATTCCCTTGCCTCGGGAACTGGGGAGTGTACACCATTGAACTTTTTGGTGGATGTGTGATGTTAGGAGGGTCTATGTCTGTCAGGTATAATCCTAACTACAGCATATATTTGTTTACCCCGGTAACAACTTGATGATGACAGCATGCCTTCTCTTCGATACAAGATATGATATTTGTCATCTCTATTCCCAGGTATGTGAAGTCCGACCGTGCCATCATTCTCATCAACCTGTGTTTCGCTCTCATCATTGCCTACTCCATCTTCTTGGGTGGGGTCACACAGACGGAGAACCAGGTAACTTCACTGACCGCACTGTTACAGAGGGCACAGTCATCTTAGAGGAGCCATAACTTGCTGTGCAGAGTTACATCCCTTAGACATACCATCATGTGTTCGAATCTCTGCCTTGCCCTGATTGTGATTGTAGGTTTGTCTGAACCGTACCCATGTGACAAGCTTAACTAACACTGCACACATTACAATATGTTCAGATAACAGTTTTAAGGACATTCTTTTATCTGAAATGTCTTTTTTGATCATATTTTACACCTACCAACCAGGCTTTCTCACACAAAAACATGTAAATATAAAACCATAATACCAGAGAATAACTGGTCTTATCACACCTCCATGTCAGAATGATCAGATCTGATTGGTCCATGTGACCTTGATAAAATACTGTGTAACCTGCCTTGGTGGGTAATAAATTTCTCAGCGGGGGAATAAAATCTCTTATACCATGCCATGAGCGATTAGCTGCACGCTCTTTCCGAGCCAATGGATGTGTCGTGACATAGTGCAAGCTTACCTCAGCAGCTGTTTTCTATCAATTTGGAATTTATTTGAATTACTTTACAATGTCATTTTAAAACATGTCAGTAAGATAAATTCGTTGTAGCAGTTCCACGAGGGGTACATGGGGTTTTATGCGTCCCTCATTAGGTTTTATACCGCTCGCCTCCTGCTTGTGTTCCTGCTACAACTCATTGTGTTTGTCTGCTGAAACAGATTCCGTTGGACATAACAGGCAATATAGCAGTGACAATTATATGAATGGATCACTGAAATCAACAATGACACCAGATTGTGGCTAATAGGGTAAGCATCTCCTGCCCTACCGGTAGCACCCGCCACTCACACAAGCAAGAACTAAGCGTGTGTGTTGTTTCTGCTGCAGGCGGTGTGCACGGCCATCTCGGCGCTGCTCCACCTCTTCTTCCTGGTGGTGTTCTTCCTGATGTTGGCGGAGGGGGTAGAGGTCCTCGTCAGCGTCATCTACGTCTTCAACACCAAGTCCAGGCTCCGCTGGCTGCTGCTGCTGAGCTGGGGTCAGTAGCCTTTGGTCCTCTTGTCCACCATTCCTACATTTACTCTTGTACCTCTCTCATGGAATGATCTTAATACTGTTACAGTCATCAGAGCTCCAGATAACTTTTTGAGCAATTGAGTTTTTACTCCAGGGTTTCTATATTAATTGGGTTATAACATTTTTCATTGGGTAACCAATATTTTTTCCCAAAATGAGTAAACATTTTGAGATTTAAAAGATATGAAATAATGTTTTAGACTCGGGAAGTAAATTAGCTCGTAATAGTATTTTGGAAATTAGCTCCTTTGTATGCATGCTGAAAAAGCTTCATTGGGTATTTACGTGTGCTGTTTTTATGCATTTGAGTTTTTCATTAAATGCATGCGTTTCTGTACTCAAGTTAATTGAAAGTAATTGGGTTTTGAATATTTTTTGGGGTTATTTTACGCAAATACGCAGCTTATCTGTAGCTCTGGTCATCATCTATCAAGACTAAATGTCTGTAACATAACTGCCTGTGAAGAAGTAGCTTCAGTACGGTGGCCCATAAGGGACAGGGAGTCTGTTTTTCCATATTTTGATATTTCATTTACATTTATCGTAACCTTTTGCATTTGTCTTACAAATATGTCATAAATCATGTGTAAAGAAGATATTGAATCGCTGAAAAACGAAACGAAAATGTCAAAAACTAAAATGAAAATGTCAAAAACACAAAACGAAAATGTCAAAAACTAAAATGAAAATGTCAAAAACACAAAACGAAAATGTCAAAAACGAAAATGAAAATACAGAAAACTATTTCCACCGCGGTGTAAATATTATCACCTCGGTGGAAATGGTTTTCACTGCAGTGTAAATATTATCACAGCGGTGTAAATATTCCCACCGCGGTGATAATATTTACACTGTGGTGAAAACTATTTACACCGAGGTGAAAACTATTTCCACCGCGGTGATAATATTTACACCGCGGTGGAAATAGTTTTCTGTGTATTCATTTTAGTTTTTGACATTTTCGTTTTGTGTTTTTGACATTTTCATTTTAGTTTTTGACCTTTTCGTTTTGGTTTTTAAAATTTCCATTTTAGTTTTTGACATTTTCACTTCACATTTCAGCGACTCAAAAGCTACTTAAAAGTACATTTTCTATGTTTTCGGATGTTTTTATACATGATTTATCACATATTATATGGCAGATTGTGTTAATTTGCAAAAGGTTAAGATAAAAGTAAGTTAAACATCAAAATATTGAAAAACAGACTCCATGTCCCTTATGGGCCACCGTACTTCAGTACAATGATACCATCTAACCAATGGAAACATATCCATTTCACGTCATCTAGGAATATGTTTGAAAATGAATTCTTTTCCCAAATATATGCTTGACTTGTCGAATAATAATATGCATCACAACTTCAAAATGGAAGCTGTATGGCCATTGCAAACTTGTACTGAAAGCGCAGAAAAAAATTTAAGCAGGAAACATATATGCTATTTCCCGCTGTAAGACTGGAGCGTGATCATGTCAGTGTGTTGTTGTGCAGGTGCCCCTGTCGTGGTGGTGGGGATCTCCCTAGGGGCCACCCAGCTCAAGGGCTACGGCAGTGAACAGTTGTGAGTATGCACATTCTCTCATCCAAATATTTATTTCATCAAACACCAATAATGTAACCTGTGGTCGAGGCCATTGGCTATAAACTACCACAGCTAGAATGCCTTCTGTTTGAGGGAGACACTGTAGCCCAGTCATCTAAGGAGCTCCTGCTGTGGAGTTGTTCCCCTTTGCTATGTCAGTACCTGCTGATTGTTGGGTTTAATCCCATATTTGCTCCAGTTAGTCACCCATCTTCCCAAGGCAAGGGAGTTAATTGACTATAAAAGTCCAGTTTCCACCCTTGCATAACTAGGCTGGAATTCTGGACTATGCAACTAGTCCAATCTAGACATCCGGTTCACAAGCAGCATGGATTTCAACGTTCAGATTTCAGTCGACTGCTTGATTTGCAAAGCATGTGTTCCGCCAACTGGGCATCAACAGATATTTTGCAAATCTTTTCATGTTTTAATCAAGGTGCTTGAGTGATTTGATGCATTTCGGGTGGTAACACCTGTTTTATTACAATATAGATCTTGATTATCGATCTGGTTGTCTTGACAGGATGCCGCCATTTTGTTTGCAACATATGCAAGTAATACAAGAGATGGAATCTAATTGGTCAATTGGAGGGATATAGAAGGGTCATAACTCATAATAGCCACTGGAGGCGCTACAATTGAGGCTGGAAACTGGACTACTATAGTCAGTTAACACCTTGCCTCGGGAAAATGTTAGGATCATGAAGCATTTTACCCTTGCTTACAGATTTCACCATCATAATATCTAACACCTGTATCACTTGGTCTTTCCTCCACCATCAAGATGATGCTATGATATAACTGACATTCTGTTCAAGACAGCATTGTTACCTCAGTCACCGTGGATGATTGTTAGGATTGATTAGTCAAGTTCGTCATAATGTTGTGCTTCCTGCAATAACGTTGATGTTTTTTTCTGATAAACAAATAGTTATATTTGACACCACAGATCCAAATGAATTAACAACAAGACTTAAAGCTTGTCTTTGTGTAAAATGCTTTATTCATGTTTAAATACATTAGCTTCAGATTGATTTGGTATTTATTTGTCAAGTGATTGAGATAATAGAGACCAACATTCTTCAGAAAAGGAGAATCATGTTTTCAGGCACCAATAACTTATTCCCCTGGCACTGAAGCACTGACTGTATGCTACAAAGTGTAACATTATCTTTGCCTTGTAATAGAAATCCTACTACAAATTGTATACCTTATATATGTGATTCCAAGAAAACCATTACAGTCAAATTTTCTCACTCATTTGTGGTGATTGTTTTCATTGATATGCTTTTAAGAATTTTGAGATATGTTGCCATAATCCTAATTCCTCTTGCAGCTGTTGGCTGTCTCTGGAGAGTGGTCTGTTGTGGGCTTTTGTAGCTCCAGCGCTGGCTGTTATCTTGGTGAGTGCTGACATTATAAGATGTAGAAGTATCATGAGTGGTACATGTGTTTTTATGAGTCCATCATAAGGGTTTATACCACTCGTGATATTGCTACAACAAATTTTTTTACCCACATGTTTAAATATGACATTGAAAAAGAATAAACATAAATTCAACATTGACAGAAAACAGCTGTTTGAGCTGAGGTTAACTTGTGCTGCGTCTTGTGACTTTCATTTACTCGGAAAATGCATGCAGCTTTTTGCTTCAAAGTGGTGTATAAGGAATTTATTCTACCTCTCTGAAATCCATATGCAACCTGTCTTGTTCATGGCGGGGTATAAGGGATTTATTCTCCTGTTGAGAAATTTATTTCCCTCCAAGGCAGGATACATAATATTTTATCAAGATAATATAGACCAATCACATCTCATCATTCTGACCAGAGACTATAAAGTAGAAATCTGTTTTATGGTCTCTCATCTGACATGGAGGTCTGACAAAAACAGTTATTGTGATGTAACTCATTTCATCTGTTGTCATTCATTGAAATATAGATAATCCATCATCTGTAAAGTAAGATAATGATATATTTTCCTATTGATTCTTCACTTCGTTAATTCCATATCTCATTATCTTCCTATACAGAATTAAACATTAGTCAAAACTTCAACTTCACAAACAAATACACTTTGGAAATTTTATCAGCTGTTGTAAATGTCATTAGAATTTAATTATTTGAGAAATATATTTTCAGGCCAACCTCATTATTGTGTTCATCGTCCTGAAGACAATGTTCAGCACAACCGCCATGATGACCAAGTCAGCCATGGAAAAGGGGAGGTAAGTCATGCATTAGAACACATGGCCCTCAGGCCACCAGTGCCTGAAGATTGTTCCAACTCCAATTAATTTATTAGGATACAAAAGGCCTATCAAGTCATAACAAATACAAACATTTGATGATTTCAGTATTATTTTCATAGTTTTGAGTAACATTTTGTCAAATAGTGATAGAATCCAAATTGTCTTAAACTCTTTGAACTTGGTTCTTAGGTCTGGTACCCAGGGGAGGGAAGGATTGCATCAATCATGATTGATAGTTATTAATTGTTAGATATACTATAAAATAGTTTTTTACCTTACATAATTATTGCCTCAAATCCCTGACTGATCTGTGTTGCAAGCACAGAAACAGGTTTTGGGAAAAAGGGTGCAGGTTAACATACAAGTGCTGGAAGAATCCAAATGATTCTCGAAGCAGTCTGAGTTTTGTTGTGTTCAGAAATATATCAATGAATGAGCTAATTGTAGTGTTGAAATACATTAAACTTTTTAAGTATACCCCTTTACCTATTAAAGCCTAAAACATTCTGACACCTGCACCCTTGGCTGGATCTTGGCATGGGTTGTTGAACCCAGCTATTGTGGCTAAGGTCGCACACCATCAGTCATTGGTCTGCTTACACAGCACTGCATCACTGTTACAGAGCTGGCTTGAAGGCCTTGTGTGTCCTGCTGCCGCTGATGGGGGTCACCTGGGTGTTTGGTGTGTTCTCCGTGAACGAGGATCTCAGGGTCTTCCAGTACCTGTTTGCTGTGTTTAACTCCTTACAGGTGAGTCGGTTCTCCTCAGTTTGGTGACTGTTGATGGCCGTTGATGACCGTTGATGAAAGTCAGGACCTTCAGGAACATGGTCATGCATAGAGATTTCAGGGCAGAGTAGGTCCCCAATACCCCATGCTTGTCATAAGACAGGAACAATGATTTGGTGGTCACCCGCGTTGACTTGCCTTTGCATGTGTTTGTGATGAGTGCCTCCGGCAGGACTATATGGTCACCTTTTTGCGAACACCCAGTATCATCACTTTTTGATAGTGATTTATAAACACATGCTCATGATATAGTGGGAATTGTACACTCACCTCGGCTTTCGGCAGATATTTATTATGAATATGGAAAGTGTTTTATAGCTTTGATTTATTGGTTGATTCACTGTGCCTCGATGACATGTATCGTTGCTCATCATAATAGTGAGTGAGTATGGGTTAACGCTGCTTTTAGCAATATTCCAGCAATATCACGGCAGGGGACACCAGAAATGGGTTTCACACATTGTACCCATGTCGGGAATTGAACCCGGGTCTTCGGCATGACAAGCAAATGCTTTGACCACTAGGCTACCCGACCACCCCCCCACCCCCCAACCCCTCATCATAATATAATCTAACCATGTGCTTGGCTGATCCAGATTTCATTGTTTATGTCATTGTGAATACTGCAGAATGTGCATAAAACAACATTCACTCGCTGAAGCTAGTTTTGTTAGCAAGACTCCATGGAAGCACTTTCTTTATCCAGATATAAATAACTCAGTTGTTTATGTGCAAGATTGCTGTGACAGACATGTTGGATTTTATTTCAGGGCTTCTTCATTTTCATATTCCACTGTCTGGTATCCCGACAAGTAAGTGCTCTCCTGGATATGTATTTACTGAATAAAGAAAAAAAGAAGATTTATAATTTTATTATATATGTTGCATTTTGTATATACATTTTCCAGTTTCTATACAATTTAATAAATATATATGAGTAAATAATTATGATTCACTTCATGATACGTTTAAATTGTTTTTCATAAATTATTTTGATAGTTAATTGCACAGTGACAATTGTGTATTGTTTAATTGCATTGCGTATTGTTTAATTGCATTTGGATGATGACTATTCATCCAGGTACAAGATGGTATGAAGAACAGGAGGCGACGTTATCGTGCCAAGAGTTTCAAGACGACCGGAACCGAGTCCTCATCTCAAATGCCGGCATCGGTAAGATAATCATCACATGCTGTAAAACGATTGGTTTTCCAAATGTTGCTGATTATTCCTGTGAGCAGGTGTGCAGATTATATTTATTTCTGAGAGTGAAAAGTATACCATCATTATTTCTCTAAAGTTGCTGAGACAGTTATGGAGAGCCTGTATGTTTAACCTTTAGAATCGGGACTTTGTAGACTAGACCTGTAACAACCAGATACATAAGAGGGTCCTGATGGGTTTTAATGCTTAACGTAAAACACCCTTCAAACACTATCGTAAACGTAAAATTCATCTTTTTTTTATCGTAAATGCTTATCGTAAAATACCAAAAAATAACTGCTTAACGTAAATAAATAATTTACTGCTTATCGTAAAATGATTAAAATGGTAAAAAACAGTCTGTCTTCAAGACCCAAATGCTTCGCCACAGAAAGCAGGCTGCGCAACTGATGCAGGGGACCAGTCTAGAATGTTTAGCGATTTGAGATTTTACCAGGTATTAAAAATATGAATTGTCAGGATGAAACGAAAACAGAATTAAAAGTCCCATGTCTCTCCATGGCCGATTTAGGAATTTTTCGCGACGATTTTATTGAAAAAGAAGAAAAATTACTGCTTAAAGAAAAAGTACCCTAAATTTTACTGTTTACTGCTTATGGGACCCACCCATCAGGACCCTCACATAAGACCATCTCCGTGGTCTAGTGATAGAGCATCTGCCCGGAGTGCAGAAGGTTGGGGGTTTGATCCCCGGTCGCGTCATACTAAAAGACGTTAAAAGATGGTACTTGTTTTTACCCTGGCCGGCACTCAGCATAAAGGGGCTAAAACAAGGACTGATTGGCTCAGAGTCAGTATACTGTGTCTGAATGGAGTATTCATGTTAAACTGTGGCATGGTATCTTAATGGGCTAACACTATAAGATCAGCATTTGTCCAGACTAGTACAAGCATGCACGCACGCACACACGCACGCACACGAACGCACGAGTCTAATGTTGTTCACTTGATGTGTCAGTCATCAGAATGTACATCTCTGTCAATGCTCCGTGTTCTTCCAGAAACTGGTGAGTACCAGCAGTGAGGAGGAGCGGCCCATCAACGACCTGGACAAGAAAGGTATAGTAACTCCCACCAACAGACTACACCTTCCATGAGCCTCCACCATTGTCCTGTACACACATTGCCTTTTAACCAGTGGTTATCATTAGGCTAATGCCAAAACATCATTCTACACCAAACTGACAACAATTGTTTCAGATGCTTCTCAACAAAGGATAAAGCTTCATGCAGTCATTGTGAATGCACAAGTCCAGCTTATCAAGTGTTGTTTCTTATAATTCTTTACAAACAATGAACAGAGCTTATAATGTTGCATAGTGTCATCAATCAGCCGGGCATGTGTGTGACAAGTTTGTGCTTCTTCCAGTTGGGTCCCCATTCATCGAAGCTGACCGCCAAGTGCAGCAGATTGCCAAGAAGCTGTATGCCAACCATGACAACCTGATGGACAACAACAACCCACAGAAGCCATCCAACAAGGTCAACGTGCCAGTGGACCCCGCGGACATCAAGCAGATGAACGGGGACAACACCCTAGACAGCTTCCTGTTCACCAACATAGACAACCACAAACCCGTGAGTCCAGTGCACAGCATAGAGGACAATGATGCTTTGGCAATTAGATCCAGGGTATGTCAGTATATTTGTATCTGGTGGATCTTCAGGCTTCTATCAATGCTTTTGTGTGGTTTGACCTGGAATACATGATTGGCTGTCTTTGGCTTTGCTTGTGTTGCCCTTTGGACTGAGTGTCACCTTTCGGTTGGCTTGTGTAATGATTTGGCTTACCTCAGCATTGGGTGATTGCATTTGTCTTTGAAAATTCTTGCTTCAGCTTAGTTACCTCTTGTCTTTCCTGTCCTTTATGTGTGCTAATAGTTTGCTTGTCCCTGCTGTGTGCTAGTGGTCTGGTGATGTGCAATCTTCTTTTTCTTGGCTAATGGTCAGATCATCCTTGGTAAAACTTAGATTTGTCTTGTCTTTTGCTGATAGTCTTTTTGATAGCACAGGTTTCTTTTCTAATGGTGTGGTAGTCCTTGGTTTGGGTTGTCCACTGTCATCTTGCTGTTTGTGTGGAAGTCTGTGGTCACCTATGGTGTAGGCTGTTAGTCTGGTTGTCTTTGACTTTGGTTGTCACCTGGCCTTGTATGACTGAGAGCCAAGTAGTCATTGACTTTGGATGATTTATCTTTCTCATATTGTTTTATGTGTTGCCACATGCATTGAATACGGAGAAGTAAACTTTGGATTATCCAGATTACACATTGCATACACTTTGCAGGTTATCAAAGGTGGCTGGATGAAAGAGGACATACAAACTCCAGGGAAGGCACCATTGAAGAAGAGTGTTGTCAGTGTTAAAGGGACTCTTCCCACCTTGGTATGTTTGTGTCATGTGTCAGACTTTCCTGCTCTGGTGTGTTCCAGTAATGACAATTCTTCTTGTTATGATGTGCACCTTTCTGGATGACATTTGGGGATGCCTCGTGGCTTGATGTGGGTACATCTATTTCAGTCTCTTGGTTTCTCTTCTTCCCTGTCTGAGTCTATGATACCATGTACTGTATCTTGGGACCATCTCATCTTCTTCTTCTGGATGACATTTGGGGGTGCCTCATTGCTTGATGTGGGTACATTTCTCAACGTCTCTTGCTATCTCTTCTTCCCTGTCTGATTCTATGATACCATGTACTGCATCTTGGGACCATCTCATCTTCTTCTGGATGACATTTGGGGATGCCTCATGGCTTGATGTGGGTACATCTATTTCAGTCTCTTGGTTTCTCTTCTTCCCTGTCTGAGTCTATGATACCATGTACTGTATCTTGGGACAATCTCATCTTCTTCTGGATGACATTTGGGGATGCCTCATGGCTTGACGTGGGTACATCTATTTCAGTCTCTTGGTTTCTCTTCTTCCCTGTCTGATTCTATGATACCATGTACTGTATCTTGGGACCATCTCATCTTCTTCTGGATGACATTTGGGGATGCCTCATGGCTTGATGTGGGTACATTTCTCAACGTCTCTTGCTATCTCTTCTTCCCTGTCTGATTCTATGATACCATGTACTGCATCTTGGGACCATCTCATCTTCTTCTGGATGACATTTGGGGATCCCTCATGGCTTGATGTGCGTACATTTCTCAACGTCTCTTGCTATCTCTTCTTCCCTGTCTGATTCTATGATACCACGTACTGTATCTTGGGACCATCTCATCTTCTTCTTCTGGATGACATTTGGGGATGCCTCATGGCTTGATGTGGGTACATTTCTCAACGTCTCTTGCTATCTCTTCTTCCCTGTCTGATTCTATGATACCATGTACTGTATCTTGGTACTATCTTATCTTCATCTTGACTTTTGGTGAATTTGGGGTCATATCCTCAATGCTTTCATAGTGTTGTCATCATAAGAGTCATCTTGTTGCCACATGGAACTTTTCAGATTGTCAAAGGACCTTTAAGGAGGGTAACCAACAATCCACAGTGCCCAGCTGTGGAACATGATGATAACTCAATAAGAACCCCTCCACCCAGGGTATGTCAGTGTGCTTGGGACTTTACTAGCTATTTGGATGTGGGTTTGTCATTGTACGATTAATGTTTGTTGGTTTAATATGGTTTCATTTATTTGTCATATTTTCAGCTTGTGTCACTGTTCAGTTATCTTGATTGGCATGTATGTATATCCTGTAGAAGATGGTTTGCTTGCTAATTTATTTTCTGCTGGAGAAGACTTTCTAGAAGGTATCTCTCTTGGAGAAGCTTATCAAGACTGTATCTATTTTGGAGAAAACCATCTAGATTGTGTCTCTGTTGGAAAAGACCTTCTAGGTCATGTTTTTGATTATCTTAAAAGATATGTGTATGCTTGTGTGGGAATTATGAGAGTTTTTACTTTTAGCATACTGATCATGGTTTTTGTCTTAATGGAGAACTCCTTTAAGCTGTATCAGTGTTGGAAAATACTTACAAGGTGGTATGTCTGTTGGAGAACTCCTTGTAACTGCATCTGTGTTGGAGAATACTTACAAGGTGGTTTGTCTGTGGGAGAACTCCTTGTAACTGCATCTGTGTTGGAGAATACTTACTAGGTGGTTTGTCTGTGGGAGAACTCCTTGTAACTGCATCTGTGTTGGAGAATACTTACTAGGTGGTTTGTCTGTGGGAGAACTCCTTGTAGCTGCATCTGTGTTGGAGAATACTTACAAGGTGGTTTGTCTGTGTGAGAACTCCTTTTACCTGCATCTGTGTTGGAGAATACTTACAAGGTGGTTTGTCTGTGTGAGAACTCCTTGTAACTGCTTCTGTGTTGGAGAATACTTACAAGGTGGTTTGTCTGTGTGAGAACTCCTTGTAACTGCATCTGTGTTGGAGAATACTTACTAGGTGGTATGTCTGTGGGAGAACTCCTTGTAACTGCATCTGTGTTGGAGAATACTTACAAGGTGGTTTGTCTGTGGGAGAACTCCTTGTAACTGCATCTGTGTTGGAGAATACTTACAAGGTGGTTTGTCTGTGTGAGAACTCCTTGTAGCTGCATCTGTGTTGGAGAATACTTACTAGGTGGTATGTCTGTGTGAGAACTCCTTGTAGCTGTATCAGTGTTGGAGAATACTTACTAGGTGGTTTGTCTGTGGGAGAACTCCTTGTAACTGCATCTGTGTTGGAGAATACTTACAAGGTGGTTTGTCTGTGGGAGAACTCCTTGTAGCTGCATCTGTGTTGGAGAATACTTACAAGGTGGTTTGTCTGTGGGAGAACTCCTTGTAGCTGTATCTGTGTTGGAGAATACTTACAAGGTGGTATGTCTGTGGGAGAACTCCTTGTAACTGCATCTGTGTTGGAGAATACTTACAAGGTGGTTTGTCTGTGGGAGAACTCCTTGTAGCTGTATCAGTGTTGGAGAATACTTACAAGGTGGTTTGTCTGTGGGAGAACTCCTTGTAGCTGTATCTGTGTTGGAGAATACTTACAAGGTGGTTTGTCTGTGGGAGAACTCCTTGTAGCTGCATCTGTGTTGGAGAATACTTACAAGGTGGTTTGTCTGTGGGAGAACTCCTTGTAACTGCATCTGTGTTGGAGAATACTTACAAGGTGGTTTGTCTGTGTGAGAACTCCTTGTGACTGCATCTGTGTTGGAGAATACTTACTAGGTGGTTTGTCTGTGTGAGAACTCCTTGTAGCTGTATCTGTGTTGGAGAATACTTACTAGGTGGTTTGTCTGTGGGAGAACTCCTTGTAGCTGTATCTGTGTTGGAGAATACTTACTAGGTGGTATGTCTGTGTGAGAACTCCTTGTAGCTGTATCAGTGTTGGAGAATACTTACTAGGTGGTTTGTCTGTGTGAGAACTCCTTGTAGCTGTATCTGTGTTGGAGAATACTTACAAGGTGGTTTGTCTGTGGGAGAACTCCTTGTAGCTGTATCAGTGTTGGAGAATACTTACTAGGTGGTTTGTCTGTGTGAGAACTCCTTGTAGCTGTATCAGTGTTGGAGAATACTTACAAGGTGGTTTGTCTGTGGGAGAACTCCTTGTAGCTGTATCTGTGTTGGAGAATACTTACAAGGTGGTTTGTCTGTGGGAGAACTCCTTGTAGCTGCATCTGTGTTGGAGAATACTTACAAGGTGGTTTGTCTGTGGGAGAACTCCTTGTAACTGCATCTGTGTTGGAGAATACTTACAAGGTGGTTTGTCTGTGTGAGAACTCCTTGTAACTGCATCTGTGTTGGAGAATACTTACTAGGTGGTTTGTCTGTGTGAGAACTCCTTGTAGCTGTATCTGTGTTGGAGAATACTTACTAGGTGGTTTGTCTGTGTGAGAACTCCTTGTAGCTGTATCTGTGTTGGAGAATACTTACTAGGTGGTATGTCTGTGTGAGAACTCCTTGTAGCTGTATCAGTGTTGGAGAATACTTACTAGGTGGTTTGTCTGTGTGAGAACTCCTTGTAGCTGTATCTGTGTTGGAGAATACTTACAAGGTGGTTTGTCTGTGGGAGAACTCCTTGTAGCTGCATCTGTGTTGGAGAATACTTACAAGGTGGTTTGTCTGTGGGAGAACTCCTTGTAACTGCATCTGTGTTGGAGAATACTTACAAGGTGGTTTGTCTGTGGGAGAACTCCTTGTGACTGCATCTGTGTTGGAGAATACTTACTAGGTGGTTTGTCTGTGTGAGAACTCCTTGTAGCTGTATCTGTGTTGGAGAATACTTACTAGGTGGTTTGTCTGTGGGAGAACTCCTTGTAGCTGTATCTGTGTTGGAGAATACTTACTAGGTGGTATGTCTGTGTGAGAACTCCTTGTAGCTGTATCAGTGTTGGAGAATACTTACTAGGTGGTTTGTCTGTGTGAGAACTCCTTGTAGCTGTATCTGTGTTGGAGAATACTTACAAGGTGGTTTGTCTGTGGGAGAACTCCTTGTAGCTGTATCAGTGTTGGAGAATACTTACTAGGTGGTTTGTCTGTGTGAGAACTCCTTGTAGCTGTATCAGTGTTGGAGAATACTTACAAGGTGGTTTGTCTGTGGGAGAACTCCTTGTAGCTGTATCTGTGTTGGAGAATACTTACAAGGTGGTTTGTCTGTGGGAGAACTCCTTGTAGCTGCATCTGTGTTGGAGAATACT